GGTGTAAAGGACCCGGAGGCCCCCACCCCACGGCAGCTCCCCCCCACCCCCGTGCCATAGGGTGTGAGCTGCAGCTGCAAAGCGGAGGCTTCGCCGCCCGCGACCACAGGACACCTTCACACCTGCAAAGCCAGCTGCCGAGCCGTGATGTGGTTGCGCTGCAGGGCCGAGCCTCCCAGAGCCCCTTGCTCTGCGTTCCCCTGCTCGCCACTCTGCCATCCGCCGCCTGTCTCCAGGGCCCTGGCCACTGGCCCCTGATGTGCGGCTAACCCGGCCCTAGCTCACTGTCCGCGGGCTGCACACCCTCTCGGCCGCCCGCTCCATCATAGCCTAGGTGGACCCCGCCCTCGGCTCACGCGCAGGCCTGTGTGAGACCTCATGTATCCCCCTTCTAGGGTCCCTCTAGAAGGAACAGAGAACATTTCTTTAGAACTTGCTTCGTTGATTTATTTTGAAAACTATGCAAGGCCAGGTGTGACGACTCACACCTGTTATCCCGGCACTTGGGAGGCAGAGGCAGGAGGATTGCTGTGAGTTCCAGGCCAGCCTGAATTGCATAGCGAAGCCAAGTCTCAAAACATGAAAAACAAGGGCCAGGGATTTAGCTCAGTGGTGCCAAGCCTGCCTGGTAAGTGTAAGGTCCTGAGTTCGATTCCTGTTACCAAAAAAAGAGAAAAGAAAAAACAAAACTGTACAACAGTTAGTTGAAGAGTCCCAGAACCCGCCCACAGGTACTGTGACTTCTGGGAAACTTGAAATCTTTCCCCGTATCTTCTTGTGTTTTCTGTTTACATTTCTTCTCCGTTTTTACTTCCGTGCCTTTCCTGTCATACTGTCCTTCTCTCAGATGCACGCACCCTGTGTCCATCCTCATCCGCATCCCGTTGCGGTCACGGATCCTTAGTGCTGTGTTCCATCGGACCCTCCCGTGTGTGTCACACGGTCCCTCCCTAGACAGCGGGCACTGAAGCACTCCACGCTCCCCCCCTTGCTTCTGCTGAGATGCATTTTTTTAAACCGACAGAGGGTGGACATCATCCCGTCGAGCATGTCCTTGTCTCTGGGTCATCCCTCCAGGTCGCCCACTTCTGGAGCGCGTGGTCTTTCTGGGTCTCAAGGGGGAGTGTGGAGGCCCTGCTTACCCAGGAGTCTGCTTTTGCTCTTCTGAAGGAGAATCGACCTCTCTCCTCCCGCCTGTTTTCCTCTGTGTCCACCTTGCTGACATGGTCCCAGGGCAGCTGTCCTTGGGACCCTGGCCTCAGTCCTTTCCACACAGACCCCTGGTCCGGGTCTCACCTCAGCGCTCTCCCTCCTCTACGTCTGGGCCCCCCCCTCTGCCCCTGCTGCCCGTTGCCTGGAGCTCCTGAGCTGGACGCTGCTGTCCGTCCGTGCGCCCGGCCCTCTCCCGGCCCTCTCCCCGCTCCCCTCCTAAGCTGTGGCCTCAGTCTGCCCAGGATGTGCTCACGGCCTCCTCCTGCTGCTCACCGTGCTGTGTGGCCTCGGCTGTCTGCCACCTGCGGGCCCCTGCAGCGCTGTCCTCCACCCACGCTCCTGGGCACCCCAGGCTTCCCCAGGACCCTGAGCGCACCGGCCCCGGCCCTGCTGCGGTCCTCAGGTCCTGCGGCCCTCAACACGGGTGCCATCCCCACAGTGGCCCCTGACCTCCACCGTCCTGCCCCTCACGGTGACAGTGCATCCTAGGTGCCCAGCCCCACACTCTGCCTCTTTGCTGCCGTCGGCATCAGACCCAAGTGGGGAGCAGAGGGCGGGTGGGGCAGTGTGGGGAACTGCCAATGTCACAGTGTCACTCCACTTCCTCTAGGAAGCTGGAACAGGAAGCCCAGCCTCCCCACGGGCCCCACTGCTCCCCCAGACGTGACCATAGCGCAGCTGGCAAGGAGCAGGTGAACACACCGCCTGCCCAGCCCGACCCGGCCCAGGCCCGGGGAGCCAGCGGTGAGTGAGGCCCCATGGCCTTGGTGGCCCAGGAGGGGACGCCTGAGCCCCGGCTTCCCTGCTCCCTGGGAGCTGCGCCCCGAGACCCTGACCCTGGGGTCAGCCCTGGGGTCCTGTCTGCTTCCTCAGTCCCCAGCTGGGGACTGTCCAGGCCCGGTCCCTGCTCCTGAGACCTGGGGAGGGGGTGGCAGGTGAGGGACATGCGGGGCCCCTCCGCGCGGTGCCTAGGACACCACTGGGAGGAGGGGCAGCCATGATGGGAGCGGCAGCAGTCAGGAGGCAGGGCCGGGCGCACTGTGGGCCAAGAAGTCAGGCGCTGTCAACTGCTCCCTGGGATGGCGACCCAGATCCATGTACTGGGCGGCTGCCGGAGACTTGAGCATGGACAGGACACGCAACACCAGGGCCCTGGCCATCACCTGGCCGCTGATAACAGGCGACTTCAGGACTCCTGTTTCAGAACAGGCCCAGCCAGCCCCCAAGTGCATGGCTGTGTGTCTGGGCCTTGCGGTCCCCGAAGAGCCTGCGGCTCGAGCACGGGCAGATCTGTCCAGGGCCACCTGTAGCCACCTGGTTGCAGGGCCTGGTGGACAGGGACCAGGGTCCTTCGAGGTCAGGTCTGAGGTGATAGGTGAGCGGTTGGCAGAGGTGCCCAGGACAAGGACCCGGAGTCACAAGGGAGGGGTGGGCTGGAGAGGTCCAACTTCCAGTCCCACCACCAAGGCTGAAGTTGGAGCGGTATCACATGGAAGGTGTGCAGGGCACAAGTTTCCTGCGGGCGTTTCCTGCAGAGGAAGCCTGAAACACAAGGGGCCCTGCAGGTCGGCCTGGGGCTGCCTGCCGCGGAGGGCTCCGCTGGCTGTCGGGAGGGGCTGGGACTTGCTCTCCGCATGTGCGCACTGCGGAGCGGGCTGGCCAACCGTACAAACTCCAGCTGTCCTGCGCTCGAAAGCAACTCGCACTCACTTCCCGGATGGCACTGTGGGGACAGCAGGGGCCCCTGCTGGTCAGCTCTGTGCACTCAGGCCACAGATATTCTGCAGGGGGCAGGTGGGACCGGCATCGGCTGTGTGAGAGCTGTGGTCCCACCCGAGGCCCTGTGCCTGGCGGGCGGCCCAGGCCTGGTGACGGCTGGATCTGTGCTCCCGTCCAACCCCGAGAGGCAGACACCTCCTCTGCTTACCGGGACCCGGCCTGCCTCTCCGCGTGTGCATCACTCAGCACGGCTGGCACCAGTCCTCCAAGGGGTGGCGGGTTCAGGACAAAGTCCCTCTGTACCCAAGCAGGGAGACCTTCTCCAGGTGGGGCGAGCTGGTGTCCAGTGCTTGGGCAGCACTAATGTCCACCCTGTCCCTTCGGCAGAGAAGCTGGCTGTGCGTGCTGTGCCAGCCAGGCCTCCTCGGGCCAACCCTCCGGAGCAGGTGTCCAGGCGGCCAAGGCAGCAGGGACAGAGGCTGCAGCCGGGGACCTGGGCTTTGCTGAGCCCCTGCTCAGCACCCTCATCCCATGCAGTCCCGGCCCGAGCAGGCACTTGGGGGCCCCAGAGGGCAGCACCCACTGCCAAGGGGAAGGGAAGACACAGAAGCCCCAGCCGTCTCCCTACCGCGGAGCGAGAAGCCAGGGCCCTCCCACTGGGGGCCACAGCTCCTGGAGGCCAGGTGGAATTGGCTGGTGGCCCAGGGATGGGAGGAGGCCACTGCAGCTGGAGGACAATCTGCTTTTCTCAGTGGTTAGATTCAAATGCTAATTGCACCTAAAATGCCCTCAGTCCCTTCCGGAGTCCCCTCTGCCTTTGTGTGAGCAGATGTCAGGGTCCAGGGGCCCTGGGTGCCAACAGATCCACCCCCCCAGGACCCCTGCTCTGTCACAGTGGAGGACATGGGGGGGGGCAGAGCGGAAGTGACGTGTGCATGGTCCCTGGCTGCTGGGCAGGCTCAGGCTGACGGGGACTCCGTTCCTGGCTCCAGCCTGACAGGGGCTCGGGCTTCTCAAAGGCCTCTGCCTTTGTTGGGCTCTGCACTTTGTGTCCTGGTGTGGGGCCTGGGGTCAAAGCCTGGGGGCTGGAGGAGACGGGCGTTCCCACCTGGGGCACAGTGGCAGGGAGGACCCTTGATGACCATTGGGGTGGCCACTGCAGGGCAGAGCACTGCCCAGCCCCACCAGGCGGCTAGAGGACCCCACGCCCGCCCTCCCCTCTCTCGGTTCCGCAGGGTGCTGGGGACACTGCAGGTGGCCAGACGCCTCCTTGTTCATGTGCACCGCTGCCTGCCGCATGGAAGCTATGTGTCAGGCCCTGGGGACTGCTCCAGATGCAGTCACCCAAGCCTGCCCTCCAACAGCAGCCCATGGTCGGCTCAGCCACACAAAGGAAACCGGGGCAGAGTGGCTGGGGTGCCTCCTACTCTGCCCCCCACGCAGGGAGGAGGGCTGGCTGCCAGGCTTGTCCTTTACCCATCTGGGAGCTCAGCAGGAGGTGCAGCCCTAGTCCTCGGTCGGCCTCCTGTGGTCAAGGCCAGGTCCTGCGGTCTGTGGCTGGCCTCGCTGTGACCAAATGCTCCCCTCCCTGGGGTGTGTAAGTGATGGGCCGCCCAGCTCTGCCTCCTGCTGCCGATCGGGACTCAGTTTCCCCATTGGGGACCCAAGGTGCTTCCATGCCGATCGTCACGAGTGCTGTGGGGGTGGGAAGCCCAGTCTGGGGCTGTAGGTTCACACCCAGAGCCAAGGTTGCTGTCCTATGGCACTGTATGCATGGCCGGGGGTGCTGGGGGCTGCTCCCCGCCCTACCCAGAGCGGCTGCGGCCTCGCGCGGCAGAGGGGAGGTGGGGCCAGCCACAGTTGCCTCAGCTTGAGTCCCGCACCCCGGGGATGGGGAGGGTGGGGCCCTCGGTGAACCCCAACCGCCTCCCCACAGCTACTGCACCCAGGAAGCCACCCCAGGCCGTGGGTTCTGCTTTCCGCGAAAGGGAAGGACTAGGGTGGTGCTGACATCCACTGCAGCAAGGGTGCAGCCCTGCTCAGGGTGACCCCTGTGCCACCCCATGCAGGTCCCGCACCCTGTGGTGGGAAGGACAGGGGCCCCGGCCAGGACAGGCTCCCAGGCACTGCCCTCTCCCAGGACATGCTGGCCCCGTGCCTGCCACCCGCCCTCCTGGGGCTGCTCTGCCTTGGGTCCGGTGAGTGCTGGGCAGGATCCCACCACCTGGGCCATGCTGTTCCTGGGAGGCCGGGGGCAGTGGCAGATGCTGGTCCGGTCCCCAGCAGCAGGGGCTGTGGCTGAGGCCTCCCCGTGCCCCTGCATCACGCCCGCCCACCTGTGTCCCCAGCCCTCTCTCAGGAATGCACCAAGTACAAGGTCAGCACCTGCCGGGATTGCATCCAGTCGGGGCCCGGCTGCGCCTGGTGCCAGAACCTGGTAAGGGAGGTGCAGAGGCGCCGGGGCCCCCGTTCCTCCTGCCTGAGCCCCGGCTGCCTCCCCGGGCCCAGGAGCTCGTGGCCCCACCCTGCACTGTCTGGGACACAGGACACACACAGCTGCCCTAAGCCAGCCCTGGGTCAGAGGGAGCCCCGGAGAGAGCTGCACGGGGCTAGGCCTGAGCTTGGCCCATCTCCTGGGGTCCGGGGGTCCCTATGCTGGTGACAGCACATGCAGGCTCCCTTGGGGAAGCAGAACCATGGGATCCGGTCCCACAGGTGAGGGGCTTGAGTCCCAGGACCAGCGCCAGGCGACACTGGGCCCCTCCCGGCTCCTTCCTTCTGGCTGCGGTGGCGGCTGAAGGTGGGGAAGCGCCTTGCTCCGGAGCCTCAGTTACAGCAAGGCTGCGGGTCAAGTCTGCAGGCCCCAGGCCAGGAGGCCTCTGCCCCAGGCTCCTCCTGACCCAACTCTTCACCCCAGAACTTCACGGGGCCAGGGGAGCCCGACTCTGCTCGCTGTGACACCCGGGAGCAGCTGCTGAAGAGGGGCTGTGTGCCTGATGACATCGTGGACCCCAGGAGCCTCGCCGCACCCCAGGAGGACCACGCAGGGGGCCAGAAGCAGCTGTTCCCACAGAAGGTCACACTGTACCTGAGGCCAGGTAGGCTTGGCGCCGGCCGGGAGGGGCTGGGCGGCTCCGGGGTCAGGGCCGCCCCGTGAGCCAGCGAGTGTGCAGGTTGCTCGTCAAGGGGGTGCGTGAGGCCTCGGGCTCGGGGAACCCTGCACGGCCCTTTCCCCAGACCCCGCTGTGCACAGCTCGCCATCTGCTCTTTCAGCCCTGGGTTCCGTCTTAGAAAGGACAACAAGCCATAGAAAGCACTTTTTTTAGGACCTGGAGATTGAATCCGGAGCCTTTGCACTGAGCTGCATCCCAGTCCTTTTTAAAAAAATTTTGAGATAGGATCTGGATAAGTTATTGATTGCTAGGCTGGGCTTGACCTTCCCTCCTTCTGCCTCAGCCTAGCTGGGTGACAGGCGTGGGGGGCTGCACAGCCTCTGACGGCTCCACCCTCACACCCACCTCCGTCTCTGCCATCGCCTGGAGGCTGAGGGTCCAAGCTGTGGGTTGGGTGGATACAGACATTCGGCTGAACCAATGGCCATTTTTGGACCTGGGAGCACTGGTCTTTACCTGAACTCAAATCTGCCCAGAGCGTCCAACCCATGGGTGCTGCAGGCTGCCACGCGGAGAGGAGCTGTCTGGGATTTGGGGGCTGGGAAGTGCAGGCTGCACCAGGGGGCTCCCATCCCGCTGTTCCCGATGCAGGCCAGGCAGCCACGTTCAACGTGACCTTCCGGCGGGCCAAGGGCTACCCCGTCGACCTGTACTACCTCATGGACCTCTCCTACTCCATGCTGGATGACCTCATCAACGTCAAGAAGCTGGGCGGTGACCTGCTGCAGGCGCTCAACGAGATCACTGAGTCCGGCCGCATCGGTGAGGCCAGTGCTGTTGTCCTGCGCCCACACAGGTCCCAGGGGCGGCCGCAGAGGCCCTGGACAGCGTCCCCCGGTGTCTCCTCCGGGCCCAGGGCAGCACTGACAGGGTCACCGAGGGCCACGGACACACCAGTGTGAGGGACGGGGTGCTGGACCCCAGTGCTCTGCCCCCGAGGGCTGCTGGCCGCTCTGTGTGCAGGAACACACACGTGCACGCCCGGACACGTGCACGTGTGCTCGTACATGCTGCACACCATGTCCACACACTCACTCGCCATGCACGCACATTCACACGTGTCTGGTCATGCATGTGTTCCTGCACAAGCATGCAGTCACACTCACAGCTACATGGTCACACATGAACTCGATCACACACACAGCACGTGACACACCCATGCACATGTATGCAACCACAGGCACACGCTTGCATGTCTGCACATGGTCATTCTTGCAGGTAAAGAGCACACTCGAGCAAATGCATGCATCACATGCACACACACGTGACCACACGCGTGCCTGCACGCCTCACACTTAAGTGCACCCCACGGGCCCGTCTCGCCTTAGGGAAACCGAGGCCAGCCCTCAGCCCCAGGGCTGCCGCCCATATCCCCAGCCTGCGCCACCCCCACCCACCCTAGGCTTCGGGTCCTTCGTGGATAAGACGGTGCTGCCCTTCGTGAACACACACCCCGAGAAGCTGCGGAACCCGTGCCCCAGCAAGGAGGAGGAGTGCCAGCCGCCCTTCGCCTTCCGGCATGTGCTCAAGCTCACCAACAACTCCAACCAGTTCCGCACCGAGGTGGGCAAGCAGCTCATCTCCGGGAACCTGGACGCCCCTGAGGGCGGGCTGGATGCCATGATGCAGGTGGCCGCCTGCCAGGTGAGCCGCTGCCCTGCCAGACCCGGGTCTCTGCAGACGGGCCCCCACGCGAGGAGCCGGGTGTGCTCCCCCTGCCTGGCCACCCCAGTCGGCCTGGCCTGGGAGAGCCGCCCCACACCAGGGTGACCCAGCCACCCGGGTGGGAGAGCGGCAACAGGACCCCAAGGCACCTCAGTTCTCACTGCTGACTCGTGACCCCGACAGCCTGAACATGCAGCGGTCCTGCCCACAGCGGGCCGCTGGGCAGCCTGACGCTGTCATTCCTGAAGCACACTCGCCTCTCCTCCCTAGGCCAGGAGGCGACAGCTGCCCCAGCTCAGGTGTCCCCTGCTCCGGGTCCCTGCCCACACATCCTTGGCCTGGCTTTGTATCACGGCCACGCACACTCCCCCTGCTCAGCCACTGCCTAGCTCTCCTGCTTCTCCAGGCCTGGGCTTTCCTGGTCCCACCAGTCACACTGCATGTGTGTAAGGCCACAGTCCATGACACACATGATCAAGCGTGCCTTCCTCAGGGACCTCCCAGGGCTGCCGTGGCTCTCCGCTGGGGGCCCTCAGGTCCTTCTGCACTTGCGAAGTTTCTCATTGCAATGGACATTTCTGCCCAGGATTTTCTTCTTTGGGGTTATTTTCTCAGAATCTCTTCCCAGGTCTGAAACAATGGCCTCTTCCAAACTCAGCTGTGCGTTTCTGGCCCTTCTGCCGGCATGCAGGGGGCTCCTCCTGGTGCCAGCTGGTCTCCTTGCTCTCAGTCCCCCACGGCTGTGAAAGCCCTGGGGTGTGGGGGCAACGGTGCTGACCCCTGGCTGCCTGCCCAGCTCTGGGAGCTCAGCTGGGAAACTGAGGCAGGCAACCCCCGCTGCCTTCTGCCCAGGAGGAAATCGGCTGGCGTAATGTCACACGGCTGCTGGTGTTCGCCACGGATGATGGCTTCCACTTCGCGGGCGATGGGAAGCTGGGCGCCATCCTGACCCCAAATGATGGGCACTGCCACCTGGAGGACAACATGTACAAGAGGAGCAATGAGTTTGTGAGCATCCCTCAGCCCATCTGGCTGTCCTGGAGAGGGCAGGGACCCCTGGGGCGGACTCTCGCCAGGTCGTGCCCAGTGCATGCAGGCCGCCTGGGGACAGGCATTTCCTCCAACACAGCCAGGAGCTCCAGCCCTGGGGCAGTGAGGCCCTGGGACCCAGCCCCAGGCCGGGGGGACGTGGCTAGTGGGGCAGCACCCTCACAGTGTCCCCAACAGCTGCCCCAGGTGCAGGAAGTGCCCCTCCTCGCCAGGCTGCAGCCAGCCCCCACCTCCCCTGGAGAAGCCCCCTGAGGGCAGCTCCCATCTCTGGGCAGCCCCCCACGGTGCTACGAAGGACTTAGAATTGTGGAGCTCAGGGTCCCCATCTGGAGCCTGCAGACTCTGGAGATCCTGAACGGGGACATGAGCCTCCGCCCAGAATTGAAGGTCCCTGGGTCACACGAGGAGGCCGCCCATGGGAGGGAGCTGTCGGAGGTTCTGCCCCCAACAGAACCCAGCAGCTCCCTGCTCTCCCCAGTGTGGACGCCTCAAAATGCCGCCCAAGCTCCCAAAGGCTTCAGAAGTCGGGAGAAGTTACAGTATTTATCATGCTGACCAAGACACATCACAATCCATCTTTTCTTTCTTTCTTTCTTTCTTTCTTTCTTTCTTTCTTTCTTTCTTTCTTTTTTCTTTCTTTCTTTCTTTCTTTCTTTCTTTCTTTCTTCTTTCTTTCTTTTCATTCTTTCTTTTCAGTACTGGAGATTGAACACAGGTCTTCACACTGAGCCACATCCCAAGCCTTTTTTGTGTGTTTTGAGGCAGGGTCTCACTAAGTCACTAACTGCCCAGGCTGGGCCCGACCTTGCCATCTGCCTGGCTCAGCCTCCCAGTGTTCTGAGATCACAGGCCTGCACCATGCCTGGCACAATATTTTCTCAGCCGTATTTCAACCTGATTGGCTTCCCACGTGATCCTGTCAGGCAGTTGTTGTCTGTGCCCTCCGGCCCTGGGCGCCTGATTCCGCCAGGCCGCCTAGAGGACTCGTCTCCAGCCCGGGGCCAGCTGACCAGTGTGCCCTCTCTGCAGGACTACCCGTCGGTGGGCCAGCTGGTGCACAAACTGACCGAAAGCAACATCCAGCCCATCTTTGCGGTGACCCAGAAGATGGTGACAACCTATGAGGTGAGTAGAGCTGATGCTGAGCTGGCGGGGGGGTCACGCTGGAAGGGGACAAAGCCTGCAGTGCACCACGCCTCTGCACCCGGCCTGTGGGCCGCCGCCACACTCAAGGTGTTTCTGGGTGCCAGCATCGGGTGGAGGAGCCAAGCTCCCTTTACGCAACCAGATGTTGTCCTGTGGGTGTGAGAGACGCCTCCTCCCTCAGGGCCCTGACAGCAGTGTTTGTCTCCGTGTGGGTGGTTGTTCCCATTTTCGCCAGAACACCCCAAGTCTCTGGAATCCACAGAGCTGAGTTTTTGTTTGGGGAAACTCATGTTTTATACCCACACATGCTTGAAGGTGACATTTTCATGGAGTGTGAGACATAAAGCAAAGTTTAGAGCTTCGAGCTCAGAGCTGGGTGTTTCGAAAAGGAAAAAGCCAAACGGCCAGCCCTGTGTGAGTCTGCGCTCCTTGGCCCCAGCCACTGGAGCCCTACTTCCATCTGTGCCCAGGGATAAGCCTCCCGGAAGTGTCTGGGCCACAGGGACCAGCCCGGCCCCGCCTGCCCGGGGAGGGAGGCAGCCACTGTCCCCACTAAGTGCCAAGTTTGGAAAACACAGCTAGAACCAGGCCCTGCATCCAGGAGCTCAGGAGAAAACTGAGCCCCCCCCACCCCGTGTCCCCTCCTCTGTGAGGACAGCAATGACTGGATCCAAAGACGTGGCTTTGAAAGGAGTGGCTGAGGGGGCACTACATTTAGGAGGTCAGAGTGGTCCTGAGGCTGTGTTTCTGCTGCCGACTGGACAGGGAGCCACATGCCAGGCCGATGTCCCCAGGGCCAGAAGGACAAGGTGTACAAGGTGCTCAGGGGCCTCCAGGGTCCTGTGTCCACTCTGCAGTGCAGTGGTTTGCTAGGGGGACTTCCGGTCTCGGGAAGCCACCAGGGCCAGTTCCAGTTTGTGCCATCGCAGCCTGGGAGTAAGACTCGCAGAGCAACCTAGTGTGGGCCTCTCGGTGTCCCCTCGCCATAGAGCTGTGAACATCACCTAATTCTCCCCAAAGCAGCGGGTGATCACAGCAGGAGTGCTGTCACCCAGAGTCAGACACCCAAACCTCAGAGTCGGAGCTCCATCAGGCTCAGCCTGGTCCTGTGGACACGGCCTGCTGTCTCCGTGGCTGACTGTGGCCCGGCCCCTGCAGAGGTTGAGCTGATTCTCGTGGCCCCAGCCCCCAGGTGATGCTTTGTACCCCTGGACGAGCCAAGCCCCAGGTAAACACAGAGGATCCTGCCAGCAGGAGGTGCCAGGAGAGACAGGCAAGGCCCAGCCTTTCCCTGCAGCCCACCCAGCAGCACACTGCTCACCTCTCCTGCATGGCCCTGGCCCCTGCCGACAGAGTAAAGAGAGGAGCACATGGTCCCGGGCGTCCTCTAGAAAGTCTGATGCCCTTCGCAAAGCCTTAAGAGTCAGCTCCCTGCTCTGTCGCACCTGGATGGCCTGAGCCCATTTCTTAACGGAAACCCTCAATCTTTCCTCTATGAGAAGGGCAACGCTACGCCAAAGGGCTACTGAGCCGAATCTGCATGCTCTCCTGCCCCCTGGGTGCAGCGTCCAGCCCTACACATTCCTCCCAGCACCACCCTTCCTAGAGAGCGACCAGTGCGAAGTCCAGGCCAGTCCTCACCTTCAAAGGTCTTGTGAACCTCCATGGTCAGAACCGAGGATGAATTTGGATTCTAGGGAAGAAAAACACAGCGCCCCAGCAGGTGGCTGTAGGAAACCAGTGCTGAACGACAGGGCCTGGGTGTCAGATTCACATAGCAGGAGTGAGTCAAGACTGCGGCTTCCCCGGTCACCAGCAGGGCCAGTCTTCCTGCTGCCCGGCTCCCCGGGCTGCAGACAGGGACAGGAGGAGCTGGAGACACAGGAGCAGGCAGGCAGGTGTCCGTGAGACCCTCCACCAGGCTGCCAGGCCAGTGGCAGGGCTCATACAGGGCCACAGGCAGAAAGCCTGCCCGCTGGCCAGGCCATGGCACCTGCGCCCTCATCCCCAGGGGGCTGATGGTCCCTCCGCGCAGTGCTGTTGCCGCCCCACGGCTTTGCCCGGAGTGGTCATCATGTTGCAGGAGACAGCAGGGCGGTGAGGGAAGAGTAGCAGGTGGAGACTGGGGTTGCCCTTCACTTCCACCTTGCTGTGCCGCAGGTGACAGCCCTGCTGGGCCTCTCGCCCCAGGGTTAAGATGACAGGGGCAGATGAGGAGCAGCCATACCAGAGCCCCGCACCTGCCCTGGACCAAGAGGAAGAGGCTCCCCAGGCGGGCCACAGATCCAGAGGAGGGTGGTGACGGGGGGGGGGTGTGCCATGGTGCTGGGGAGGGCTCGGGGGGCCCAGGTGCATTCTAGGAAGTCAGGAGGGCACGTGCCCACAGGGAGCACAGCTGGGCCCCAGCGACCCTGGCCGGCCACACTCAGGGGCACTGCGCAGAGCAGGACTGTGCTGCCAGCGAGGATTGTCATAACGCCGTGTGACAGCCACTGCTCAGACTAGGTCACTTGCCAGGCGTTATGGCGCAGGCCTGTAAACTCAGCACTCTGCGAGGCTGAGGCAGGAGGATTGCAAATTCAAGCCCAGCATGACCAACTTAGTGACTTAACAAGACCCTGTCTCAAAATCAAAAGTAAAAGAGTTGGGGATGGAGCTCAGTGTGAAGGCCCTGGGTTTAAAAAAGCGGGGGAATCACTCAGCCCCCTGAGATGCTCAGGACTTAGCCTTCCTGATTCACTTTACCCCATGTGGCTGCTCCTTGGCCTGGCAGCTCTCAGCACACTCTCACTGGTGTGTTCCCAGCTCAGCAACCTCTCCAGTTTGCAACACGGGGTGGGGCACCCATGCCCAGCAGGAAGTGGCCTCTTCCTCCCTGAGAGCCTGGCTCCCTGGGCAGCACCCCCAGTGGCGCCCCCTTGGGCTCAGTGGGAAGTAAGGACTGTGGACAGCGTCCCGGCCCCTCGCGCATGCGCCAGGCGCTGAACGCCCGAGCATCCTGTCCCCACAGAAACTGGCCGAGATCATCCCCAAGGCGGCTGTGGGGGAGCTGTCCGACGACTCCAGCAATGTGGTGCAGCTCATCAAGAACGCCTACAACGTGAGTCCCCGTGGGGGAGGCCGGCCGGGCAGCCAGGGAGCAAGAGCCCGAGGACGAGGGCTTGGGACAGAGGGCCGAGGCTGACCCGGGGTGGGCCCTGCAGTGGGCTTGGCCTGCGACAAAGGAGGCGTCTCTTGTGGGTCAGCCCCTAAGCTCCAGGCCCCCATAAGCCCTGCTGGGACCCTCAAGCACTGTCCCCCTCCCTGCTGTGCAGCCGTCCAGGTCCCCGTGGTCCTGGTGGACACGGGTGGGGCAGGCACTGCTCAGGGCCTGGGGCCAGCAGGTTCTGAGGGCCCTGGAGATGCGCCCCCTAGTGGGCTGCACCGAAGGTCCTCGAGGCTGCAGGACACAGCGCTGGACCGTGGCTGGGGTGAACTTGAGCCCGGGAGGGTTCTGTCTCCTCCTCAGCCTCCTGCGCACCCCATGCAGACCCTCCTGTGCCTGTCCCTGTGTCAGTGTCCACACAAACCACGCAGGTGACACCGCTGTGGGCTCATCACCGAATGTTACTCGCCAGCTCCGCCTCCCTAACCCTCCCTCTCCTGCAGTCCCTCTCCCCTGTCTCTCTCCCCTGTCTCTCTCCCCTGTCTCTCTCCCCTGTCTCTCTCCTCTGTCTCTCGAGTCGGCGTCCCTGTCTCTGCCTCTCTCCTCCCTTCAGCCACCGACGCCACGCGGTCCAGGGCAAGGGACAGTCCTGAGGGCTCCAGGTCCCTGCAGGTCCCTGGAGGGAGCCCTGTGGTGTTGGCGGCCCCTCCATGGCCCCTGGCACCCGCCCGGCTCCTGCCCCCGTGGCTTGCTGTTGGGAGGGAGGGCTCCAGAGTCCACAAGGCCGGCCAGACAGTGGGACAGCGGGACCCGCCCTGAGCGCTGCCCTCTCCCTGCAGAAACTCTCCTCCAGAGTCGTCCTGGGCCACAGCACCCTGCCCGACACCCTGAAGGTCACCTACGACTCCTTCTGCAGTAACGGAGTGACACACACCGACCAGCCCAAGGGGGACTGCGATGGCGTGCAGATCAGCGTCCCGGTGAGCCTGGCTCCGAGGGCCCGGGCCTCCAGCCCAGCGCCTGGCCAGCCCAGGGTGTCCCCGAGCCCCAGGGACAGGGAGGAGGGAGGCAGCCACGGCGTCCACCTGCACCCCAGAGCCCCCTCCCCAGAGCCCCCTCTGTGACCGGCCTGGCCCTCCAGCGCGGGTCCCACCGTGAGGCCGGGAGAGGCCGGGAGCCAGGACACACTCCTCGCCCCAGAGCCAGGTATCAGCGCAGAGGGGAAGCCCAGGTCCCTTATGGGACTGAACTGGGGTCCGACAGCGCCCCCTGGGGGCAGCTGCTGGAAGTGTGGAGCGGGTTGGGCTGGGTTTTCCTGAATTTTGCTCCGGTTTTTGTTTGAGGCACTGGGGCTGGAACCCAGGGCCTTGGGCATGCTGAGCAAGTGCTCTACCACTGAGCTACGCTCCGGGCAAGACAGGGTCTTGCTAAGTGGCTAAGTTGCCCAGGTGAGACTCAAACTTGCAGTCTTCCTGCCTCAGCCTCCCTCAGCGCTGGGGTTACAGAGTGTATTGCATCTTTACATTGACACTGGAATCCGGAATTCCTCCAGACCTGTCCCTTCCTAGATCTTGCATGTGAATTGTTACAAAACTCCGGACCCTGCTGTGTCCCTGCCGGGCGTTTACCCCATTCCACTCCACTTTCCGGGTGCTCCTCTGCAGTCTGACTGCCAAGCCTGCTCCGTCTTAAAGTGCGAGCAGAGATCCTGAAGTTCACCGAGGCCGAGCCTCCACTCCGACACAGCCGGCTCCCTGAAGCCAGTGCCGGCCTCCCCCGCTGTGCGGAGCGTGTGGCAGGGACGTGGGCTCTGCCCGGTGCCCACCCCGGGCCCGCTGCTCCCTGGCCATCCTCGCTGGCCGGGCCCTCACCCTTTACCCGGGGTTGGACTGCAGCTGCGGCCCAGGACCGGCCTTCCTGAGGGGTCGCGCGTCTCAGCGCCCTGGACCGTGGACAGGAAATGCTCATGGCGCCCCCTGAGGTCCCTTGGGAATCCCTTCGCTGCTGGCGTGATAGGAAGTATTCAAAGACGTCCCCTCCCAAGCCTGAGCCCAGGAGGCCCAGGAGCCCCCTCGCTGGGGCTGTCACCACCCGGGACCCGCCCACCCTCCTGGCCCCATGGACCTGCTCCCTCCCAGGGGCCGCGGAGCCCAGCGCCCTCCACCCCACACCAGCTGCGCGTCCCACAGCCAGGAGAGGGACAGGAGCGGCCCGGTGACCCAGGGTCCCCCCCTGAGCCCCCCCACCCCACAGGTCACCTTCCAGGTGAAGGTCACGGCCACAGAGTGCATCCAGGCGCAGTCCCTCGACATCCGGGCGCTGGGCTTTACGGACACGGTGACCGTGCGGGTCCTGCCCCAGTGTGAGTGCCGGTGCCGAGACCAGCGGCAGAACCGGGGCCTGTGCGGGGGCAAGGGCTCCATGGAGTGCGGCGTCTGCAGGTGAGGGCACAGGCTCCATGGCGCCCACCCCACCCGGGGCAGGCGTCTGCTCAGGACCCCAGCTGGCTGCTCATTGGGTGCCCCAAGCCTTGTCCTGCTTCCTCCTGCCAACGCAGTGCCACATCCACACCTGACGCTGGCCCCCAGGCTCAAAGGGACGGTGTCACTGTGTGGCTCTGGAGGATGGCCCGCCTAGGTCCCGCTGGCTCAGGAGACCTTGGAGGGGAGAGCAGGTGTTTGGGCCCGAGCGGCGGCCCGGTCCTGCAGGAGGACCTGAGCACGCGCCCCTCCCCCAGGTGCGAGGCCGGCTACATCGGGAAGAGCTGCGAGTGCCAGACCCAGGGCCGCAGCAGCCAGGAGCTGGAGGGAAGCTGCCGGAAGGACAACAGCTCCACCGTGTGCTCGGGGCTGGGGGACTGCGTGTGCGGGCAGTGCGTGTGCCACACCAGCGACATCCCCAACAAGGTCATCTACGGGCGCTACTGCGAGTGTGACAACATGAACTGTGAGCGCTACGACGGGCAGGTGTGCGGCGGCCCACGTGAGTGCCCGGCCCAGCCCAGAGGGACCTGGGGGGGCTGTCCTGTCCACTGCACCGGACAGCGGGAGCACGTTGTGCACAGGTGCTCGGTCCCGGGTCTCTCTGGGCCACTGAGCAGCAGCAGGACCAGGCGACCTCCACCTGCCAGGTGGGTCCCTGCCTCTGTGGGTGTCTCGAGCTCATGGGAGGGTCTCTTGGGGCGACGGCCACAGGATGGGGTCCCAGTCCAGGTGGGATGTGGAGGCCAGGCTGGTGGAGGGAGGGACGTCAGGGCCTGCTGCTCCCAGTCCCGTGCTCGGACACAGCTGCAGGAGGAGGGGACCTGCGAGGACGGGGCTCAGGGCAGGTGGAGGGGCAGCCCCTGGAGGCGGTAGCAGAGGATGCGCACGCGCACGCACACGCACGCCCCGTGGCTGTCCTGGGCCTGGCCTGCGGGGAGCTGAGCCCGGGTGGCTGCGCTGTCTTGCAGGAAGGGGGCTCTGTGACTGTGGCCGGTGCCTCTGCGAGCCTGGCTTTGAGGGCTCCGCGTGCCAGTGCAAGAGCTCCACCGAGGGCTGCCTGAACGCACGGCGCGTGGTGTGCAGTGGCCGCGGCCGGTGTCGCTGCAACACGTGCGAGTGTGACATGGGCTACCAGCCGCCCCTGTGCGAGGAGTGTGCTGTCTGCCCCTCGCCCTGCGCCCAGCACATGTGAGTGTTCCCGCTGCCCAGGGCTCCCCGGGACCCCAAGGGTACCTGCGTGGTGGCCTTGGGGGTCTCTGCAGGCGCCAGCGCCCCCTGCCCTCCTCATGGGCTCGGCTGCGGGGCCCTCACCGGGGACGCGGGGCCTGAGCCTCTGCAGCCGGGCCAGGGCTCCACACAGCCGCTCTGCCTTCCCCTCCAGCACAGCAGCCTGCGTCCACACCCTGGTTCCTTCACCGGGTGAGGGCCCCGGCCACTCTTGGGAACCACTGCTGTGCAGCTGCCCAAGCCCCTTGCACACTCATGCACACGGACTCCAGTGTACCCTTGCATGCCCGTGGACTGCACATATCCCTGCACCCTCTCCGCTGTGCACCCTGGCACGCGAGTGCACCCTCATAGACCAGCACACCCTCCGTGTCTCGTGGCCCCTGCAGCTCCTGTGCCGAGTGCCTGAAATTCGTCTCAGGCCCTTTCGAGAAGAACTGCAGCACGGCGTGTGGACACCTGAAGCCGCTGACCTCAGCTGCAACGGGCAAGTCCTGCCGGGAGCGGGACTCCCAGGGCTGCTGGATGACCTACACCCTGCGGCAGCGGGACGGGAGGGACAGCTACGACATCCACGTGGAGGACACCCGAGGTAAGGTGGGCAGGAGGCGCAAGTGAGCAAACAGCGAGTGGCGTCAGAGGGACGGCTCTCTCTTCCACGGTGCTCGGCAGGCCCGGGACCCTCGGCAGGGTCCTTGCAGACCAGACTGGTACCGTCCCTCTGCCTGCCCGCCGGCCTCTCCCTCTCCTCTGCTCCCTGCCCCACACCAGGGAGGGCAGCACTCTGTGGCCTGGAGTGAGGCATTGCAACCGGGTCCCTGCTGGGTGGCAGGGTCCCCAGGGCTGGTGTCCCCCAGGGGGATCAGGATCCCAAGTGGAGTCTTAGGATCTTAGTGGAGTCTTAGATGCTGCCCCCCAGACGTGGCCCTCTGTTCAACTCTGGTCCTGCAGGGCCAGGGAAGGCTGTGAACTGGAGGCTCCAACCTGGTCCTCTTGGGGTTCACACTCCAGGGGGGCGGAGGCACTGGGCCACTCGAGACCCAGATTCCTCAGCGTGGGCTGCGGCCGTGTCACCAGGGTGCAGAGCCCTCGGGTCCTGAGTCAGGAGTCAGTGGTCCCCTCGGGGACGATGATGGCATCGGGACCTGGGAAGCGAGGGCCTGAGGTCCGGTGCTGGGCGAAGCGCAGGGGATGCAGCGTTGGGAGGGGCAGGTCTGTTCCTGGGCCCCCGGAAGCCACTCACAGTGTCCGGAAGACGGACCTGCCAGAGCTGTGCTTTCACGGTCAAGTCGCTGGCGGCCGGGTGGACGCTGCCAGCCCCATGGCTGCTGCTCCTCCAGGACCCGGCAGAGTGAGGTGGGCGGAGGGAGGGTCTGCGGCGTGGATGGAGCCTGCCCTTGAGGACGGCAGGGATGGTGGGGGTCGGGGTGCAGGGCCCAGCAGACAGCGTGGGGACCTAGGGTCAGGGCCTTGGTCTGTACGCTGGGTGACAATAGCTTACGATGTTGGGGACCTGCACCTGGGCAGAAAGACATGAAGGGCTTCAGAGCTTTAGACCCACAGCCCTGGGTTCTCAGCTCCCCACCCTGTTAGGTCTCAGGGACCTGAGGGATGAGCTGGGAGCACACACAGGTGACCGCAGGAAGCACAGGCCCAAGACCTGGGGTGCTCTGCCCCAAGTCCTCCCGAGGCGGGAGCCACGGGAGGCAGATGGGGCCCGGCCTCCCCTGTGATGATGGGCTCCCTGCCAAGGCCGGGGTGCCGTCAGGGAGACCACACGGGGGCTGTGGCGTGGCCCAGGCCAGGAGGAGGGCACAGTGACATCGGGGGACCCTGCCCTGCTCCTCCAGTGGCCCCGCCTTCCTGGGTTCCCAGGGCCGCCTCCCTGGTGAGCCTGCTCGGGTGGAGAGTTCCCATCCCCGCCCCTCAGGCTCGTCCCCAGCTGAGTGGCACCTGCAGCTCTGGGGTGCACAACCGGCCGTCCCCGCAGATGAGGCCTCCGGTGGGCAGGCTGGCGACAGCCTGAGCTGGCCTCCGCTTCGTCCCAAGAGCAGCTGTGCCGAGTGGTCTTTGAGGCCCTTTGGAGCCTCAGGGCTGGTTCTGTTGCCCACCCATAGCGGTGGGCGGGTGGCGGTGTAAGCTCCATGGCCGCCCCCCGGGGGCCCTGATGGCTGTGTGCGTGCTTTTAGAGTGCGTGGAGGGCCCCAACATCGCCGCCATCGTGGGGGGCACCGTGGCGGGCATCGTGCTCATCGGCGTCCTCCTCCTGGTCGTCTGGAAGGCCCTGACCCACCTGAGTGACCTCCGGGAGTACAGGCGCTTTGAGAAGGAGAGGAGCAAATCCCAGTGGAACAATGTAGGTGGCCCCAAGGCCGGGCTCCGGGCCCGTGGATGCCCTTGCGGGAGTGTGCACACCAGCGCGGGAAGCTCGCCCCCAAGTGTGTGCAGGGTGTGCAAGAGCTGCTGCGGGGCTGGCATCCGGGCCACCGGCTCTGGCTCAGCCTCTGAGTAAAGGCTCCCTGAGTCCACTCCCCAAGCCCTTTCTGTGCTCACAAGCTGTGCGGTGTCTCCCCAGGATAACCCCCTGTTCAAGAGCGCCACCACCACCGTCATGAACCCCAAGTTTGCTGACAGCTAGGAGCCCCTGGGGAAGACAAGGCCATAGGGGTCGACCTGATGGGGCCCTCCCAGCGCAACCCTGACCCCCACCGGACGTGACTTAGGACTCAAGACAGCGTCGCCACGGGGCCCAGAGCCTCTGCGTTCCTCCCGCCCGGACATACGGCCAGGCGAGCCTAGGCGCGCATCTTCAGGAACAGCCTCCCGTCTCATCTGTTCAGTGATGTGAGGGGCACCGGAAAAGACTCTCCCCAAGTTTCCTGAGGCCCAATCGTGTCCCTGTGTTAACCTTAGGATGGCAGCCTAATTAAAGGCAGTGCACATTTATTTATATTTAAACTCACCAGGCTCTCAAGCTACACGCCACTGATTATTCTGTTAACCAATCACGTGAACAGAAAATAAATAAGACCTCCATCAGAATGTCCAGGAAAGCTGGCCTCTGTGGCGTCCTGGCCCAGCGTGGTCCTGCTCATCTTCCTGGGCCAGGACAGCGGCCCACAGGGGCTCCCGCTGCCTCTCCTCGCTCCCCTGTAGGCTATGCGAGCCACTCCCTCTCCAAATCCTCTGCCCCAAATCCTGGGTGGTGTTGTGACACCCCAAAGGGAGCTGGAGTCCCTCAAGGTCACCTGTAACTCCAGGGGGTCTGGGAAGGTGCTGGGTCCTCTGGTACTGCTGCACCAGTGCCCAGGCTACTCCGTCATGTTTCCGGGGCAGGAGTTGCCTCCTGGGGTGGCCTGGTGCCTGGCAAGCGCGTGGACCCGACTTCTCTGTTTAGCTTTGATGTGCCCCTGATTTAAAGTGACATATTCACAGGTGGTAATTTTTACTTGGTGATAAGTTATTTATCAGTCTGAGCCTTTTGAGCACGCTTTGGGGGCGGCCGTTGTCCTCAGTAAGTCCTGTGTGTCCAGCACGGCTCTCTCCTTGCTGGGCAGGACGCCGAGTCGTGGTTCCTGCCTTGGTCAGGCTCCCACAGCCGGGCCGAGATACGTGACACCCGGGATTTAAAGGCGGCGATGTTCATTTGGGCTCACAGGGTGTTGTGGTTATATCTGGGTGTCCCCCAAGCCTCACGTGCTCACAGGTGGGGTTTTGGGGAGACAACTGAGCCACAGGTGTGACTCTCATCAGTGGATTCTGCACCGATGAGTTCGGGGTTAAGTGCAAAGTTGGCAGGTGGATTCCTTTGGCAGGTGGGTCGCTGGGGGCGTAGCCGGGGGCCCAGCTCCCCCTCGGTCTCTCTGCTTCCCGCTGCCATGCTGTGATCTACTTCTCTGCAGGCCCCTCTGCCACACTGCCTGCCTTGGAGCCAGCGGGCTAGGGACTGAGACCTCTACACATGCTGAGCTGAAAGAAGCCTCTCCTCCTTAGAGCTGTGGGTGTTGGGCACTGTGTCTGAGAAACAAGAAAGTAACTAAGACGCAGTTTCAGGAGGGTTAGTCTGTGCATGCTCGGTTGGCTCTGAGGCAGAGAAAAACTGCTCAACCCATGGCAGGCAGGAAGCTGAGAGCCAAGTGCAGCTCTCCCCCACAGCGGTCCAGCTATGAATGGATGAGTAGACTAACGCACTGGTGACCGCAGTGCCCCATGCATGATCCCGTCTCCTTCCACAGCCCCACCTCTGACATGGAAGCCCAGGGGACACTTTAGATCTCAGCCTAACACTGCTCAGCACCTGCACTCGGTGGAGAGGATGTGCTTCACAGTAGAGTCCCTCGGAGCAAGGGACAGCCGGAAAACCACTGTTCCCTACGGGATGGGGTGAGCACAGGGCACAGCCTGCTCTCCCCGGACGCCTGTGGGGGTGACAGCTCGAAGCCTCACTAAGTCAAAGAATGGGCAAAGGAGGAATTAGAGGGTATTTATTAGAAATCATTATACTCAATCTCGAGATTATAGAGAATCTTCACACTCTGAGCCAAATCCGAGTCCTTTATTGCTGGCCGTCCAGAGCGGCTAGCATAGAAAAACTCTCGACCCCCGGAAAGTGGCCGCATGTTTCTTTTAAGCAGCTCTTCTAGTTGGGGAGGACTCCAGGAGGGGGGCCGCAGGGGAATTTCACAGGAGCAGCACTGTGCTAAGTTAGTGGGGGTCTAGGAAGTTTCACAGTTTAGTTGAAACAAAATACCACACAGGTGTGGAGTATTCTGTTCACAAGGTCATAAAGACAACACACAGCTGCAGACTGCTCTACCAATTGGGTTGCATCCGCATCAACCAAGGGACTCCCAAGCGGGGAGGGCTCTGGAGAGGACCACTCAGATTCACTCAGCTTTACGTGAAATGGGGGAAATGGGCATGGGGCACAAAGTGGAGTCAGGTTGGCTATCACAAAATAAGAGAAATAGCTCCTGTCCCCAGAGCAGGTCCTAATGGAAGTCCAAATTGTCCTCTGTGTCCTGCTCCCATGTGAATAAGCAGAGGCAGGAGAAGACTCAGTCCTCTGCTCCTCCCAAAGAAACTGAGTTCAAGGAAACTGGTTATTTTGCATTTCTAATGTTCCTAGAAGAGCAGGAGGGAGGGAGGAACGGGCAGCTGGCTTAGCTTACTCTGCCTAAGAACCTTCATCCTGGAAGGAAGCCCACTTGTCTCTCCCTCCTGGTCCCAACTTTTTATCTTTTTCCTGGGTCGTCTTTACATTTATTTCTGAGTTTAACTTGCTGCATTACTTGAGTTGGCTGTCCCCTCTTATCCACTCAGGCTCAGGCTGTCCTGACTGTCTGTGAATATGCTAACTGAGCTGGCACACTGCGTGGGGCCAGTGTCCTTCTCAGAAAGGTGCCCAAGGGAGCTCGCTCCTCCCATGGCCTTGAGAGGACACAGGAAGGGTCTGCACCTACGGCCACGCACTGGTGCCCTGGCTTCCAGCCCGCCGCTGTGGGCAGTGGCCTTCTCTGCATGTAGCTGACCCAGGCTCAGTGCTTTACTTTGAGACAGGAAGAGACTGAGACACCCTGTTTATAAATAAGTACCTTTGAAATAGAATTGCCAAAGACTTAGTGAGGCCATGCCCTTTCACATCTAGGGAAAATATTAGCTTTTATTTTTTCTATTAAAAATGAGTTCCTGGGCCGGGAATTTAGCTCAGTGGTTTCACCACCTGCTCCACAAGCGCAAGGGACTGAGTTCGATCCCGGTACCAAACAAACAAATAAACGAAAAGTGAATTCCTGGGCTGGGGATTTAGCTCAGTGGCACCACGCCTGCCTCGAAAGTGCAAACTCCTGAGTTCAATCCCCGGTAGTAAAAAACAAAATGAATTCCTGCCCTGCGTGGTGGTGCATTCCTGGAATCCTAGCACTTTCGAGGCTGAGGCAGGAGAATTACCAAGAGTCCAAGGCCAGCCTGGGCTATATAGTGAGTTCAAAGCCAGTCTGCACTACAAAGTGAGACCCTATTTCAAAAAGAAGAGAAAAGAAAAGAAAAGAAAAGAAAGGATTGAAGAAAATCAAACCTTTTTCAGACAAAGCTGGCCGGCCAGTCAGCCTCACCTTCAGCCCTGCAAAGGTGCTGGCCTCACCCGGCCCCAAGGCCTCAAACAAGGGGAGCTGCCTCCTCCGATCCACTCCAAGCCACAACCCCACCCTCCTGACACCCACCCCATGGCCTCTCGGACCATCTCCCTCCCGTGCCACAAGACCCCACATGGCCCTCTCCATCCCTTCCCTTTCTTTTCCTTCTTGTTTTCTTGAGACAAGGTCTCAGGAGGTAGCTCAGGCTGGCCTCATGTGTACCATAACCCTCCTGCTTCAGCCTCCCCAGTGCTAGAATTCAATGCACTGCCCGCCTGGCTTGCCTCCCCATTTCAAAGACAGGCTTCAAGACTTCATCAGGGCCAACACTGTACCTAGTGCACCTGGGCCAACTTGCTGATTGTGATTAGAACACTGGGTCCTTAAAAGGCGGGGGTGTCTTGCTATACAGGGATGATATAGGAGGTAAAATAGTGATATAGGGGAACAGATGGAACTCCCAAACCTGCTAGGTATCCGAAATGTGAGTTCTCTAAAATCAAAGAATGAATTCTAGAAACAACGGAGGTAAAGAGTAGGAAAATCTATTGAGAGAAAGACAGCTTCTGTCCAAGAGAGACAGAAGGGGGACCGGAAAGTGGGTTGCCTGGGGGACTCTGTTTCCTAGGGGATTTTTATATAGCAAAGCCAAGAGGTGGGGCGGGTACAAAGTGGGACAAAACTATAGTCAACTAGTAAGATGACAAGTACAGTCGCTTAGGTAACACTGATTAAATGGGGATCCGATGGGGAAGCATGGACTGGGGATGTAGCTCAGTGGTTCTGGTGCCTGCCTCGAAAGCACAAGGTCCCGAGTTCGATCCCCGGACCAAAGAAAACCAAAACAGGTGGGGAAGCAAGTTGCTAGCAAGGGTACATGGAACACCAAGGATTTCCGGGAAGGCCTGGGTCAGGCACATTTCCAGAAAGGGGTGGGTTGAGGTCTCAGTCCCCCCCAGGTGATTGATGCCTATGTAGAATATCAATCACTGCTGTCCATCCCCAGCGAAAGCACGGGGTGGAGTCGGTTCTCTCTTTTTATAATGCTGACCTCCAGTGAAAATGTCTCGATTGTTCTTCACATCGACTCCTGGGCCCAGCCCTGTCTAACTGCCCACAAGCCCACTAATTAACTTATCTGTCTACAGTACTAGGCCCTCCAAATGACAAGAGAAATATTATCATTCCCAGCTTGTTAGATGTCTGATATACCGAGTCTGTGTTCTTGAAAACGGAAGAATGAATTCTAGGAACAACGGAGGTCAAGGGTAAGAAAGGTTTATTGAGGGGATGGCTCCTGAGAGGCAGGAGGGACCCCAAATGGGGAGCTGAGGACCCCACTTACAAGGAAGTTTTATAAAGCAAAACCACCTGGGTACAATGTGAGTTACAGCTCTGAACAACCAATAAGGTTACAAGTATAGCCACTTAGGTAATAGTGATCCAGTGCGGGAGCAAGGCACAAAACAAGGGTGCGTGCAAAGAACAAAGACTTTTTCCAGAAAACGATGGGTCTGGAGGCCTTGGTCACCGGGGTGGCTGACACCTGTCTGGACTTCATTAGGCCTGGAGTTTCCTTGTGCCTTGTCCTTGGGGAAGTATGCAGCCCTGGTCATTTCATCTTTATCTCGAGGCCTGTGTCCAATAGATGTGTCTCCGGCCACAGTTGTAATGTGTTTTCATCTTCTGCGTGCTGACTCTGTTGAGGGCCTGGCCCTGCCTGACTGCCTATAATATTTCTACCTAACTTGGCCGTCTGTAATACCGCCAGGGACCTAACTGTGGGTCTTATTTCTCCCATTTTCGGCCTTGCCTCCCTCCATACTCTGTGTTAGGCAGCTGCCTCTTCATGTGGTCACAGCACGCACAGGATCTGGCTCGGTCCAGAGTTCCCAGCACCTAGGTTCAAACAACAGCTTCGTTTGCCCACCGCTGACCAGATCCAAGGAGGCCATCTCTTTGGGTAAAAGGAGCAGGGGTTTACTCAAAGCTGGCTCCGAGGACACAGGCCCATTTGCCTGGGTCGCCATCTCCAGCATCCAGGCCTGTGGGGTCTTCTACTCGAGGGACAGCGTCTGGGGTCAGGCCGCTCGTCCTACCGCGAAGCACCTCTCCTGCTCTTGTCTGAGGGAATGAAACTGGGCTGGGCCTCACCCCAGGATCAGCACCTTCTGTCCACACTTTGGGTGGGAGGTGGGCAGCTGTTTATGCCCCAGGCTGGGAACACTTGGGTGAGCCACTCGTCTTCGGAGGGAAAAAAAATCTAACTTTCAAGTTCTGCCTCACAGTGCAGTTACACCAGCCCGCTGCTGATGCGCTGCCCAGGGGGACAGAGCCGTCACCCACCCTGGGCCCTCTGCCAGGGTTTTGAGGCAGGGCAGGCAAAAAGGACACAAGAAAAAACATAATTTTAAAGTTGTACTTTTAATGCAAACTGCAGTTGCCGGACAGAAATGCAATCAACAATTCCTAGGGCCTTTAAAAACACAATAAGCCTGGGCCACTCTTTTTTTTTTTTGGTACCAGGGATCGAACTCAGGAACTTACAATTGCGCAGCAGACGGCAGAACCACTGAGCTAAATCCCTGGCCCCTTGTTTCCCTCCTGTTTATTTTATTTGGTACCAGGGTTCGAACTTGGGACCTTCTGCTTTCGAGGCAGGCAGTGGAACCACTGAATCCCCGGGCCCGGGCCATTCTCTTTATCCGTGGATGGATCACTTAGGTGTTGCACCTATAAAATGGGCCTTCCCCTATGGGTGGGCTGTGGCTCTGTCACTGGCTTTGGTTGAGTTTAGTTTTTTGAGGCAGGGTCTCCCTTTGTAGTTCAGGCTGGCCCCGAACTCTCGGCAATCCTCCTGCCTCAGCCTCCCGCGTGCTGGGGTTACAGGTGCGTGCCACCACGCCTGGCTAAGCTCTTCCTACTCTTGACCTCCTGTTCCCAGAATTCATTCTTCGGTTTTAAAGAGCACGTTTCAGACATCTAGCAGGTTGGGAGTTGCAATATTTCCCTTATATTATTTGGCGGTCCATATATCACGCACCCTGTATCAACATCACACTCCATTCTCCCTTTTTCAAATTTTGACTTCTGTGTGGATAGAACTGGAACTTGTTCTATAGCAACTATTTTCTTGAAATTCTGCATTGCCGAATTGTCCCAAGCCTCAGGCGTATTTTAAACGCTGCTGCTGACAACACGGTAACTTAGGGTGGAGTGGGCGTCCCTGCGTGTGGGTCACTGTCTACAAATGCCCAAGGTCCTCCAGGAGTGCAGGTCGGCCCGGTGTGGGTTGAGGAACTCAGCCCTCTCCACCCTATGAGCTTCCGGGCCCAGCCCCAAGCACACGCAGCTGTTTCCTCACTCGTGACCCTAAGTGCCTGGTTTATCCGCAGTGTGTGGTGTTTGTGACCTTCAAAACACAACCAAGTGTATACTTTGCAATTCAGTGCTTGTGCCACACTCGGGGACCTGGAATCTCTCTGCCGGGCCCACCCTGTGGTCACAAGCATCCTGTCGGAGCTGGAATCCGGTGACCATGAGGAGTGCTTGCCCTGGAGAGTGTGGTGCACTCGAGCCACGGGCCTTGGGGGGCTGAAGCTTTGTCACTTCCTGCGGAGTGAGAGGGAGGGCGAGCCCGGAGGTGAGGCCTGCCACGCTTGGCCTGGTGCCTGGGGCCTGGCTTCTGCTGCGCCCTGTGAGGCAGGCTAATGTGGTGGGCAGGCGGCGCACACCGGCCGTGACCTGAGACCTCTGACCTGCTCCAAGGCCGAGTCTGAGCTCTCTTTTGCTTCCTTCCACTGGGAGCTGTGGCAGCGGAAGCTCACCGAGGCCCCTTGATTGGGCTGAATGCCTGCTGCGGGAACAGGTAGAGCTGGGATTTGACCAAGTGCAGCTTCACAGCCTCTCCTGGGAGTAGTTGGAGGGCAGCCTGCATCCTGCCTGCTTCCCTAACTGCAGACACCAAGTTGGGAGATGAAGACATTGTCATTCCATCTAAAATTGGCCAACCCTCAGGTCACTGGATCCTTCCAGGAAAGTCCCCCAGGCCAATCTCAAGAAACAGCCTGCTTAGGGCTGGGGATTTAGCTCAGTGGTGCCTCTGCCTGCAGGGCAACCGCAACCACACGGTCCTAAGTTCAATTCTGGATACAAAAAAAGAGACAGCTTGCTTTGTCTTTCTGTTTGTTTGTTTTGAGACAGAATCTTGCGGTATAGCCCAGCCTGGGCTCCAACTCTCAGCCTCCCGAGTGCTGGGATTAAGGTGTGTGCCACCACGCCCAGCTACAATCCCTTTATTCTCAAATGGAAGTTGTTTTCCTGGAGATTTGTTTGACCTTGGCACGCCTTAGGTCCCTGCACATTGGGGAGTGCAGGACACAGAGGCCCACAGTGCCCTCCTGGCCAGCAGGCAGCGTCTCCTCACTGCCCTGAGCAGCAGCAGCCTAACTTCCAACTGCTCGAGCCCATCGCAGGGCGGGAGCAGAGAAGACAGCGTTGCACAGCCCCCTGTCCCACTCCTGTCCCCTCACTGGGGTGATCTCCTGAGGGTCCCGGTGGTGTGGGGCAGCCAGGGGATGTGGCCCGGGAAAGGTGGCACACAGCCCACCACAGAGGTATCACTTGTCCATCCCAGTCACCGCTCTTTCTACGCCCGGATGGTGGCTGCACAGGCATAGAGGGGATGTCATCAAGTTCACCCTGAACTTTTTCCCTCTTGGAATTGTAAAACAAATAACAAGTCTGAGCACTAATTAAACAACAGGCCTTTATTCTTGGCCTAGAATACAAGGAGATACACTCACAAATCAACTTTCCTACCCTTGGGGGTTGGTTGGGAGAGGGGAGGGAAAGGCTAAGGAGGAGGCATATCCATGTGCTTCCTGGGAGTTCAGGAGCTGCCTCTTCTCATTCCTTTTAGGAATCGGTCCCATCATTGTCACGGCAACTGTCACCTGCCGTGGCACTGGGGTATGTCTTCAGGATCCAGATGAGATTAGAGTTGTCTGGGTCACTCTTCGGCAATTTTAGATCCCATGAGTCTCTGCTGGTCCCTGAAGAGGGAGCTCTGGGAAGAGAACAAGGTTAGGGCAGGGCAGAAATTCAGCTGGGGCAAGCAGCAGAACAAGACCAGGGGCAGGTAACAGCCCCAGGCCAGCACATAAGCCTCTCTCTTCCAGGAACAATTTGCAAATCCCCATTCTGCCATGGCCATGTGTTATAAAGAATCCACTAGTCAAAAAAAAAAAGAATCCACTAGTCAAAAAACAGGCCTCTGGGGCCGGGGATTCATCGCAGTGGTTTTGCTGCCTGCTGAGCAAGCACAAGGACCCGAGTTCAACCCCCAGTACCACAAGAAAAAAACCCAAAACACCCAGGCCTCTGAAAGGAAAGTTTATTCCAGTGAACAGGGACTAAAAATCAGGAGATTCTAGCAGCCTGCTGGGAAAACCTGAGTTTATCAAATCTGTGTGTGGGTGGGCTGACATCGGCAGAGATATTAGCAACAAACCGGGGAAAGAATTAGGCTTACGTAGGTATTGAAGGGGCTAAGGAGTCGGGTGAACTGCTTATGACTTGGATGCCCAAGGACGGTCTGCTCAGGTGTGTACACACTTACTGCACTTCTTGCCTCCAGGGGGTTCTATACTACATTTTAAGTCCATTTGCCCTATTTACTAGGAAGCTGCTGTTGTTTGCTGAGAGCAGCCTGTTTGCTTTGTCCCGTTTGTTTGTGAAGGACTAACATAAGTCAGACCTGACACTATGGATCAAGGTTCTCTCAGGATTTAAGAGATACTTTCAGTAATACAAATAGAAGATAATTTTGAGTTTGTCTCTTTTTTTTTAACAACTGTTTATCAATTTATTAAAACAGTTGCCTTAGGCATCTGCGATAGTGACTTCAGCCTCCACTCCTGGCTCAATACTGATGGAAGTAATCTGCTTAACAATCGCAGAAGGACTGTGCAAATCAATCAGTCGCTTATGGATTCTCATCTGGAAACGATCCCATGTCTTAGAACCTTCACCACAAGGCGTTTTTCTCGTAGTGGTTCTCAAGGTCTTAGTAGGCATTCAAACAGGTCCTTTCACTTTGAGATCCTTTTCCTTGGCACCTCTGATCAAGTCAGCACACACCTTCTCCAGGGATTTCACGTTGTGACTGGTGAGGGTAATCCTAACTCGGTGAATCGCCACCTCAGGTTCCACGGGTGTCTTTCCAGTATCTTTAAAAGCCATGGTGGCGGTGTGGCTTCCTGACCGACTTATTGCTCGGCCAGATCGAACAGCGGTGAGTCAAGAGCACGAGCGGACGAAGCCAACAAACGCGGCCCCACGGACGCCTCTTCCTCAGAAGAGTTTGTCTTTAATGTTCTTGATGTACGTAAAGAAATACATCCTCAAAAATGTCCTGTGGACATCTGGGACACTGTGAGTGTCATCTGCTAGCACACTGCAGCTGTGGTGATGGAAATTAAAACTGAGGCAATCGGCATGAATTTTACAGGCAAAAAGCTTTAAATGGAAAGAGAAAACACTAAGAGACCTTAGCTTGAGGAACTAGAAACAAAAGGGGACACAGCTCTGACAAAGACGGAGCCACATCGTTAACAAGGAAAGTAAGAGAAAATAGGGAAGAGACTTCAGCCTGAGGAAGTGAGGGGAGGATCAGATTGGTCTGCTAGCTACAGAACCACAAGCCAGAAGCTTTGCTGGGAGGGCCGGGCCTGGTTATCAGGATTGCAGTTCCAGTTAGAGCTGGGGAAGGGGCGATTCTGTCTCCACCTGACGATGGCTCCCGCCTGGGGAAGTCTTGCTGGGCTGCAGGGACAGCAACCATTTAGAGCTTTCAGTGATCGAAACAGCCCGCTGGGCATTAGGCTGGCCACCCCTGGGGGAGTACCTGAGACTCCGGTTGTAGTTGAACGTCCCTGTCAACCGTGTCTTCAGTCCAGAAAGGGATTCAGACAGGTCCTATAAACCCAGGGCTAGCCACCTTTGTTAAAGACTTGCATGCCTGAGCTGAGAAGAGCTTAGACCCAAAGTTTTGAGGTAATGGAGAAAAAATGTCCTAGGGATGCAGCTCAGTGGCGCCGCGCTGCCTCACAAGCGCAAGGTGCTGAGCTCGATCCCAGGTACCACAAAACCCAAATGAAGGCCTGGCTTTGTTCTGCATGTGTATAGGCCCAAATGAAGCCACTGTTTCTTGTTTTAGCAAAAACCGCTTTAAGTCCCTGACTGGGCGAGAAGAAAATACGAACCATGCTTTTGCTGAGTGGCAGATTCAGAGCCCAGGACTGAGTTCATCCTGTCTCCAGGGTGGTCTCCGGGTCGCGGGCAGGTCTTAGGGGAGTTGGCCTGGGGGCGTGTGGGCGAGGCGAACTCCCAGGCGCAGGTCACCCTGCACCGCCCGCGGGCCCGCGTGGAGGGAGCTCTGGGCGTGGGGCGATGGCACACACCGTGACCCCAGCACCAGGCAGGCTGAGGCAGGAGGCTCGAAGAGAGTTCCACGCCATCCTGGGTGTAAGACCGAGGGCCTTACCAAACGCTTTGAGGAGCTGACTGCAGCGAAGAACACCCGGGAAGGAACACACCGGACAAGTTGGAAAGTAAAACAGACCTTAGTCTGGCCAGACGGCACTCCCAAAGCAAAGTAGCTTAGAGAGGCGACTAGCCCAGAGTCCGAGGCTCTTTTTATAGGGGGTTCCAGGGGAAGTTAACAGGCGAAATTTACAGAAGAGGAACAAAGGTTAGTGGTTAGCTGACACGGTCAGCAGATGTTTGTAGATTGTTCTATAGATAGCGGTGTCCAGAAGATCAGTTTCGAACAAAGAGTTGAGTAATTTACTTTGGGACCTTATGGCTGATACAGATCTTATCTAGTGTCCGGGAACTAATAAGCATCTTTATCTATTTACTCACATTCAATCACAGTTGGGGCTAGGGGAGTTTTATGATTACAGAGTTATGCAGTCCCACATGGGCCACAACAGTGAGACCCAGCCCCAACACCCCTACCGTAAAATAAAGGAATTTCGCCGGCGCCTGGGGCCACAGTCTGGAGCCCTAAGCTTCTTTGGGGTCAGGCCGGGGCCATCCACCCCGCCCCTCCACCCCGCCAGGGCTTCCGCCGCGCAGGCGCACTGAGCCAGAGCCCCTCGGTCACAGTGCCCCGCTCCCTATTCTGCTTCACGCAGGCCAGGCGCACTGAGCCGCAACCCCGCTGTGAGGCAGGCCGGAGAGCGAAAGGGCGGAGCGAGCCGGAGCCCGCGGCTGCGCACTCGCCCGGCCCCGCCTCCCCGCCCGCCCACTTCCGTCGTCGCGGCTTTCCCGGGGCGGACCAAGCGGCGGGCGTCACGGTGCGGCCGGGCCTGAGGAACTGACCTGCGACGGCCATGGCGCGCGGGGCGGCCCGCGGATTCCCGCGGTGGGTGCTGCCCCTCGGTGGCACCGCGCTGCTCCTGCTGCTGGTCCAGGCGGCTGCCCCGGCGCCGAGCGGAGCAGGTGAGCGGGGCGCGGGGCCGGGGCAGCCGGGCGCGGAGGAGCCAGGTGTCGAGCCCCGGCTCTGGCCAGCGTTTCGGGAGGGCGGGGCCCGAGCAGCTGCCGCCGGGGCGCCGGGCGCGCGCTCCGTCCGGCGGAACCCGGCGCCCCGTCCGGCCTGAGGGCGGCGCCCGTCCCCGAGGTGTCCCTGCCGGGCGCGTGGCGGGCGCTTGCCCGCGGGCAGAGCCGCGGTGGCCCCTGGGCCTCACTTCCGCGCTTTCTCTTTGTGACCCCCTGGATTGCTGTTCCAGCCCGGAGTTGTTCAGGTTTCTCGTCCCTTTCCAAGGGTGCTCGGCTGTGACGGCAGCGCAGCTGATTGCGGTCGGTGGTGCGAGGGACTTTGAGCCTGAGTTGAGTTGTAGCCGCCTAGGTGCGGGTGAGTGCCGATATCAGGCAGAAGGGCGTGCTCAGCCCTCCGGCGCCAGGCCTTATCGGCGGCCCGAGGCCGTGTTTGCCTGCTTGGCTGGAGCAGATGACTGCGCGGAGCAACCCGGCAGGCGGGCTTGGCTGTTTGGGGTCCCCAGCCTTGCACTTCTGCGGGGCACTTTGGGAATTCACCAGGAAGTGCTGCTCCGGCGTGTCAGCTCTTCCTTCCCTCAGTCCTGTGCTGGGACACCTGGCAGGAGCCCTTAGTGTACTGCCCAGCTTCCCTGGGCTTGCTGCGGCCTTGTCCTTGCACACTGTTTACAGGGCTGAGGGCTCTCTTGCCATAGATTCTGTGCATAGATTGAGTTGGCTTTTGTTTTGTTTTGGTACCGGGGATGGAACTCGGGACCTTGTGCTTTCGGGCCAGACGGCAGAACCACTGAGCTAAATCCCTGGCCCACTTTTTTTTTTTGAGACAGAATCCAGGCCGGCCTCAGACTTGCTTCAGTCATCCTGCCTCAGCTTCCCAAATGCTAGGATTTCAAGTCTGCACCACCATGTCTGGCAAGCCCACACTTTTTAAAAATATTCTTTGGTGGAAGGGAAACCTTAGGAACCCATAATGTATTGAAGATCTGTAGGGCAAAATATATGAAGTTAAAGAAACTTGAATGGACTTTTGGCGCCCATGTTGATGTGTATGGAGTCAGGCTATCCAAGAGCTTCATCTGGGAGTGCCAGTCCCTAAATGGACTTCAGCTGAGGTCCTGCACAAGAATCCCCAGGAGCACAGTGGAGGCCGGAGATTCCAGGGCGGTGTGGTTTGGAGGTGTGTCTGCATTCCTGGCTCTCACCTGAGCAGCACAGCAACAGGGTGTCTGGGTGACCTGTACAGAAACTGCAGCGTGCACATACCACCACAGCTCACCTCCTTGCTTTCTGAAACGGTGGGGTAACAGGACTGTTTTGTCTAAATGAATCATTCCTTTTCTGCAACTCACCCAGAGTTGGCACCCAGCCCTGAGATTGTTTCCTTGTTTTTGAAAAGTGTATCTCTCCACACAGGGTAGTGTGTCCTTCTGTACTTAACTGATCCACCTGAAACTTCAGGAAAGCACTAAAAAGTGAGTTCTGGTGTGGTTCAGTATATCCTGACAGAAGAACTTTTATGTGTGTGTGGGGGAATGGGGGTCATTTAATTTCCAAAGTGAATGAGCCTGAAAGTTCTTTACAAAATAGCACATAGAATCTAAGCTGCAGCCTCAAAGTAAGGACTCCAGAGTCAGAACATTCAGTGCTGCCCTTGAGGAGCACAGGGCAGTTCTTATCTGGAGCTCATAGCTTTCTGCCTCCGGAAATGTGGAGCCATAGAGAATGGTCAGTCTTTCCTTCTTGCTTAGCAAGACAATGTGGCATCTTCCATAAGTGAACGGGACCATCCAGCTGGCTGCTTTGCTGAGGAACCTTGTTTCCCAGTGTTGAAGACCCACCCTGTTCCTGGCCCTTGGAGGAGGAGGGCTGGGTGGCTCCGCCTCTTCCTTCCCGGCCTCACTGACTCACACTGGCTAGTAATCCAGAGGCCAGGGGTGGATGAAGCCCAAGGTGTGTCTCTTGGGGCACCCACAAGAACAATTATCGATATGAAGATCTGGGAGGGAGGCCTGCCTGAGGCCGGCCACTCTGTCAGACTGATGAGAAGGGCACCCTTTCTTGGAGGTGACTGGGAGAAGACCAGGACAGGGGTGTGCCAGGCACACCCTGTGCCTCCTCATGTGACTAGGGGCTCTCAGGGCCTGGGGAGGCTCTGGGTGAGGTGAGTGAAAAGCCCCTGTTGATCTCAGTGTGGCTGCCCTTGACTTACACTCCCTCTCTAGCTATTTCCTGGTTTTTCAGCTTACAATAAAATAGCATGTACATTTAAAAAATAAACTAGTTATAAAATGACCAATTATGATTTTATTACTTCATGTTATTTTCTGAGGTGGCCCTTTACTCTTCAATTCTGTTTTTTGACAGAGTCTCTCTGTAGTTCAGGCTGGCTTTGAACTCACTGTGTAGCCCAGGTGTGGTCATCCACCTGCCTCAGCCTCTTGACTGCTGGGATTGCAGGGCTCAGAGCGGCTGGTCCGTATGTGTGTGTGATGAGAGGTTTGCGGCACTGGTGCACCCACCATGGCCCCCTGGTCTGTGAGCTGCCTTCCACTGCCTGACCCTCTCATGCCTGCTTTCCCTGCAGGCTGTGCTCAGAACACAAACACTTCGTGTGAAGAGTGCCTGAAGAACGTCTCTGTAAGTAACGCGGGTCTGAGCGCTTTCTCTGAGTCCAGGGAGCTTTCGTGTGTGGGAAGGGTTTCAGTGTTGGGATTCAGTGGGTGTTTTCCTGACGCTTGCTAAATACGATGCAGCTTCTCTCGTGCATATTAAACCTTCTAACTAAAACTGCAGGTACCCCAAGCACAGTCCAAGTTGGCGATCTCACCCTGTGGCGGGTGCTTGGGGAGCAGGAAGTGTTCAGCTGGGCCTTCCTGGAGCTGGTTGGGAAGCAGCAGTGTGCGCATTCGGTGACCAGTGCTGACAGCCAGCCAGGCATTGGTCTGAGACTTCGGCCCGAGACCAGGCCTTCCTGTGGGGTCGAAGACCTCAGAGACCTGTTGGGCTGTGACTCCGTCTTACAGCATCACTGTCCACGGTCAAGAGATGGGAAGAGGAGGAGGGACCTTGCTTTCCCCCAGCTGTCAGAGCGTGGGGGTGCTTCTGTCAGCTTGTCACCCATGAAGGGACAGCAGAGACCTTGAGGCCATCTGGTCCCCTGGGAAGACTCAGCCAGCACAGCACTGCAGTTGGTCCTCGGTGGCCTTACATGCCTGCATGCCTTGAGCAAGAAGGTTTCTGTTCTGAAGCAAGTTCCCTAACACCCTGCTTAATGAGGGGGCCCCTCCTGGGCGGGTGTCCCAGGATCTGAATGAATTGGATCACTGACTCCCTCTGGAGGAGTAGGAGACAGCGCCCCTGCATAGATCGCGCCACAATGCAGGAGTGTCCTTGTTCAGGGCCTGCTGGCCTCTGGCTCCGCCCCACAGAGGAGCCCTTGGTGGTTCTTGTTGAGGTCAGCACTGTGTGGGCCCATTTGGGAAGCTGAGGGATGGCAGTTGGGAGAGAAAACAGCTCAGTGGCCCTTTCTGGGGACCCCGTGGGGTGGGGCTGTGTATGTGCCTCATTCAGGTCTTGCCGGGTCCTCAGGGAGGAGCCTCTTCCTCTCCCTGGCAGCTGGGCCAGGAAAGACGGACTAGCTGGCCTCTGCTCTGAGATGTTGGCCCTGTGTTCACAGCTCACCCGGGGCGCAGTGCAGGGTTGAGGTGAATTACATGGTCACCTGGGTGTTGGTTTCTTTTTCTTTTTCTTGTCTTTTTTGGGGGGCCGGGACCAGGGATGGAACTCAGGACCTTGTGCTTTTGAGGCAGGCATGGTGTCACTGAGCTAAATCCCTGGCCCAGTTTTCTCAACTGCGTTTCTTTTGAGTCTCTGGATTTTCCTATTGGAAGTCATATCAGCTGTAAAAGGAGCTCACTGTGTTTGTGTGTGCAGATGCCTGTGTTTGCATTGCCCTGGGGTGGGGTGGGGTGGGGTGGGGTGACAGTCCCTGGAGGGAAGCCCAGGAGGCTCCAGACCTGACCCCACGCCGAACCCACTGGAGCAAGTCAGAAAGGCCAAGTGGAGGGCTGGCCCGGGCCACAGTGCCTGTGCTCAGGGACACACAGGCTTCCGGGAGGGTGTGGGAGGGCCTGGACAGCGCAGGAGGACCAGCAGGCAGGGGTGGGCTGGAGGTGAGGCTGCCACTGCAGCACTTGCGCTGGGTGTGAGCGCACGCCTGTAATCCCTACTCTCTGGGAGGCTGAGGCAGGAGGATCATAGATTTGAGCCCAGCCTGGGCAACTTAGCGAGATCCTGTTGTAGAATTTCAGAAAAGTGGGATGAGGAGCGGGGATGTAGCTCAGTTGAATGAAAGCTCGGGGTTCAATCAATTCCCAGTGCCACCGCACCGGAGAAGGCTGTCTGCTCGGTGAGCACCCGCACTGATGGTGGACAGTGAAGACGTCTACAGCTTGAGCTGGTGAAGATAGGACCAGCTACAAGTTCCTGATCCAGGACAGCCACCCATGTGGAAGGTGTCCCTGCACAGAACACACAGATTTGCTGCTGTCCACCAGTGCAGGTTCTGAGGCTTTGTCACCATGAGTGGGCGCTGCACAAATAGCCCTGGGGAACAAAGCCCAGGGTGCGCTTGGATATTTTTACAGTGGGCCGGAGAGCCCCAAACCATGCCTTCAGTTCTGTTAACCCAGTAACACTGGTGGAGTCACGGCTGTAGTGACCAGCAGAGTCTTGCCGTGACTGGGAAGTCCCGTGCTGTTGAGACTGCAGCTCTCCTGCTCGCTGCCTCCCGTGTATCACCTGCTGCCACACTCATCACCCCATTGGGCACTGCTGTGGTGCGGGGCAAGCCCTGCTCCGGGGTCTGACATATGCTGGGCTGTCGACCCTTCCAGCCTCACCCTAACATTCGGGGTGTCAGACAAGCAGCCGTGAGGCCTCTCCTGCTCTTGAGTTTGCCTTTCAAGCTGCCATGACTTAGTGCAGATGTAAAGGTGGAGGGCAGGAGGCACGGGGCCTCTGAGTCCATTCAGCCAGCACTTCATGTGGGCCAGCTGTGTCCTGTGTCCTGGTGCCTGCCCCTGTGCGGGGCGTGGTGGACACCCTGTGTGGGCTGCGTTAGGTGGCGGTGCTGCCGATGAAGAGCGTGCCGAAGGTTGGGGTGGGCAGGGGAGGTGGTGGTGTGTTGAGTCCGTGTGTCAGGGTGGGCTCGGGATGAGGGACATGCAGATGTCTGGGAAGAGGCCACTGCCGAGGTGGGGCAGCTCTCAGGACCAGCATGGAGGCCCACGGGGCTGGGGCAGAACAGGTCGGGGGAGCCATCTGAGTTACAAGGGCATTGAGTGAGACCAGAAGGCCTAGAAGGCCAGGTACCCTCTTGTCGGACATTGACCAGAGGGCAGCGAGGTAAACAGGACCAAGGCTGTATGCACGGCTTCAGGTAGGGCTGCTGAGGTCACAGGCAGGGGAAGCCGTGTGAGGTGGCCGGGCTGGTTCCCTGGCTGACACTGGGGTCCGACGTCCGTGTCTTCCAGTGTCTGTGGTGCAACACTAACAAGGCATGCTTGGACTACCCGGTTAGGAAGATCTTGCCACCTGCTTCTCTCTGCAAGCTGAGTTCCGCACGCTGGGGGATTTGCTGGGGTAAGTCATCATTTTCATTTGCTTTTTGCGAAATGGATGCTTTTCTGAAAATTCTGCCATGTGCTCAGCATACATTGCTAGGAAACATGCTCATGTAGCTGAGCCACGGCCGGGAGAAGGAAGTCAGGGGCCAGGGTGTCTGGGTCTGGGCAGGTGGCCAGGTCCCTGGGAGTCTGCAGGACCCCACGGCCGTGGGCCTCGGTGCTGGGGGCGGTGGAGGGGAAGGTCTCTGCATTACTGCATCTTCCCGTGCCGCTCTTGGACCCGGTGTGGTTCCCCTGGGACTCTGCATTCCTGGCTAGAAGCCCCTCTGCAGCCCGGACTCGGACCTGTCTTTCTCCTGCGTCTGTCTGCTGGTGGTGGATGCAGGACGTTAGCCTTGTCGGATTCATATTGTTTCCTTGTTTGTCTTTTAAGTCTGTGGTGTCTCTTGCTACTTGGAACTCATTTTTCTGCATTGAATTTTGTGATCTTTTGTAGCTTCAGGTTTGGGGGTCAGAGCCTCCTTCTGCTCATGAAGGAGCCAGTATTTTCTTAGAGCACTTTGATTTTGTGTGTGTGTTTGCAGCTTGGATCCCTCGGCAGCCTGCTCTTTACTCACCTGTCTTCTAACTCAGGGATGGGGAACCGTGTAGAGACTGAGTGCCCAAACTGCAACCCAGAACCCACTTATTTATTGCGAAGTGCCAACACTGCAGTTAAACCTGACTCTCCGATGCTCGGCTGCTGGGGTGACAGGGCTCTGCGTGCCCACTGTGGTATGAGTGCCTTAGGCGTGCCGCCACTGTTCTCGCTCACTGATTCCTAGCTCAGCCCTAGCCCTTCACTCTGAAGCAGTTCTTCGGAAGTTGCTGAGGTAGGGCCGGGGATGTGGCGCTGCACCTGCCTGGCAACCGCAAGGTCCTGAGTTCGATCCCCGCCAGTGCCTGGCTGCCCCGCCCTCGCTGCCACTGCTTGTCTTGCTGCTGCCTTGTCCCCAGTCTTGCCTGTGACTCTTGCTTCGGGCGGTGCATCATTTCCGTGCAGTGCCCACCCCCGTCTCCGTGTCTGCGCTGCGTGGGCTGTGTAGGCAGCGGTGCTCAGTGGGTTGGCGCCTCCACGTGCAGTTATCACTGCTAAAGTGGAATGTGCAGCCATGCCCAGCTCTGGGCTGCGTTCCTGTCTGGCCGCAGTGGCTGTGCACTGACCTCCCCCCGGTACACTCAGTGCCGCCTGTTCCCGACCTTCGTGTGGAGGCCCAGGGCAGCACCCTGCCATGTTTGCCGCCTCACTCGGGGAGCCTGTCAGCCTGGGTGGGGCCCCTGCAGGTGGTGGGACTGGCCATGCCCATCACACCCCCAGGCGCGGAGGACTTGTGGCTGGCACAACATGCCTGCCAGCGCCAAGGTCGTGCTGGGTGTGTGGCGCTGGCATCGAGGTGCTGACTGCATTTCTTTGAGGACTGGGGAGGTTGAGCAGCGTTTCAGGGAGGGGTGTTGCTGACACTCTTGGCAGGTGAGATTCCACCCCAAGTCGGGGGAGGTGAAACACACTACTCACCCCCAGACATGTGAGATCCATGCCACATGCAAGTGTACACGGGTGTGCCGGGAACAGCCCTCGTCTGTGGGAGACAGAGAGAGGGTGGGCACCTCGCTCCCAGAGGGCCGTGCGGCTTCCGGGCTTCCGGGTGGTGAGGTGATCGCAGGGAGTGAGCCTGCACTGTGCCTGGCCCTGGCCCTGTCCTGGGGAGGAGAGGGCGGCTGTGCATGGGTCACTCGGCCTGGTCATTCTGCAGGGGTCAAGGCAGCATGTGATGCTGGCCGAGGCCTACCTCACGGACACTTCATGACCCTTACGAACAGCTTCAGAACGACCCCGTCTGTGCTTAGGCAGGATGGCTGTAGATTCTTAATTACAGCGATTTTAGTAGGTGTTCATTTGGAGAAAAATGAGATCTGTCCTGAAGCAGGGCATCTCCTCTTTACAGCCTTTGATGGAGGGCCCTGGTTTCACCCTGCAGGGTGAACAGCAAGGAGCCTGCAGATTTACTTCGCGTTGTGACAGTTTTGTTATTTACAGCTAGCTCTGGTGGCTCCTTAGTTGGAAGGTAGCTAGGTGTTAGAGCCAGCTATCTCACTGAGCTCATTGGTTGTTTTGAGAGTTCTTTAGTCAGAAAGCCCTACCATCTGCTGACACAGGGTTCCCTTCTACTTATGCACATTACTGGCATTTTTTGTAATTCTACACACACAGACTAGGTCATGGGAGGGCAGGACACGTGATGGAAAGCTGAAGGGCACTGGAGCATATGTAACACTTGACAGCTAATTTAGAAATGTTTAATAAGCAAGAAGGAAAAACAGCACAGATAGTGTTTAATAAGTGGCCATACCAGGAGTCTGTTATAGGCGTTGCTCACGGAGTGTCTCCGGTCCCCCGGGCGGGACTCGGCAGAGCCCATTCTCTTCCACCCAGGGATGGTGTTCAGAGGTGACCACTGCGCTCCGGCTCAGGTGGGGCTGCACAGCGGGGTTCACCCTGTCTCGGGAGCCGTGACGGTGTCTGGCTGCCTGTGCCGAGCGAGCCGTGTGGGGTTCCTGCGTGGCCCTGGGCTGAGCTGAGTAGGAAGAGCTTGACGGGCGTAATTTCAGGTTCTGAGAGAAGCTGCTGACCTGGACTTTGTCACTTGAGGTCACTTCAGCGGGAAGCCGTGCTGTGGCGCCGTGCCGCTGTGTCAGCCGTCCCAAGACGTCTCCCTCTCCGATTTGTTTCTCCGGGAAGCTATGATATTCTTGAGGACTCAGTGTGGCTCAGTGTGAGAGGCCTGGGCTTCTTTCTGGTTTCTGTTCACCTTTCTCAGACTGGAAACTTCCTTTCCATCTCAAATAGAAAAGCTGTTCTGACCCTTGGTTGTGGCTGTCCAGGAATGAGGTCACAGATAGGCAGGTGGCTAGAGGGAGATGTGAGGCTGCAAGCTACAGCCTGCTGGGCACCGCAGGGCGCCAGGCTCAGGGCCCTCTGTTCTCCATGGTCAGGGTTCTGACTCGGCATGTCTGGCCTTGCAGTGAACTTCGAGGCGCTGATCATCACCATGTCCGTGCTGGGCGGCTCCATCATCCTGGGCATTGCTGTGGCCTGCTGCTGCTGCTGCTGCAGGAGAAAGAGGAGCCGGAAGCCGGATAAGAGCGATGAGCGGGCCATGAGGGAGCAGGAGGAGAGGAGAGTCCGGCAGGAGGAGAGGTGAGGCCGGAGCGACTCCCTGGGCACTCGGATCTGGAGGGCTGGACACTGAGTCCTGAGTATCCTCGGTGTCCCAGTCCAGGGGGCTCCGTGTCCCCAGGATTCCCAGGCCGAGGGGAGCCTTGCAGCTTTGCCTGCCCGATCTGTTCCTCCCAGGGTTGGGGGCAGCTGGCCGTGTGTGCTACTTGGCAGATGTCTGGAGTTTGGTGCAGGGGCTGCACTCATAACTGCCGAAGCGGCCGGGCCTTTGGTGCCTGCTCACCCTATCATACATCAAGCTGATTTATCAGAGAGAGGAGGGTGGTGCATTGGAGCAGCCTGGGGGACTGGCTGCATCTCACCTGCCCCGGTGCTGGGGTGTGGTCTGATGGCTAAGCCCGCCCACCCTGGCCTTCTGGGGACCTGCACCTCGGCTGCAGGAAGGGAAAAGCCCATTTTCCATATTGATGTTGTACTATTTAGGTAGTTTGATGCTGCCTGATTTTTTTTTATTTTTATTTTTTTGTAGAAGAGCAGAAATGAAGTCGAGACATGATGAAATCAGAAGAAAATATGGTAAGAGTCACTGTGTCTCCTTTGTGTTGGTTGGGACCAGCGCCGAGCCACCCTCCTTGTCTGTGGTGTGAGAGGGAGCAGGAGCTGTGGGCCGACCCCCCACCCCCACCCCGGCACAGTGGCGCTGAGCCTCTCCGCAGAGCAAGAGCAAGCTTGGGTGGCTGTGTCTCGGCCAGGCTGTCCTCCCCTCCCCGTGTGCTGCTTGCTGGCTCACAGAACGCAGAGCCTCTGCAGGGTCGCAGGAGCTCTTTGTAGACCCATCTTCCCCAAAGCCGGTGTGCCCACCTGCAGCTCTGAGCCCTGGCGGCCTGGTGTAGCCCTTCAGCCTCGGGTGCCTGCTGTCCTGTCTCCTGGCTGTGGCATGTGACCCTCCTGTCCAGAGACTGGCCTGAATGAGGCCCGTCACCCCTCCCAGGGCTGCTGGTGCTTTGTCTTGCTTGGTTTTGTTTAGGGAGACCCTGGCCAGTGACTGCAATGTGGTGAGTGTATGTGTCAAGTGTGAGCTTTTCCTTTGGTCTGCACTTCCTGAACGATGTGATCCTTTTCTTTTTTGGTACTGGGGATCAAACTTGGGACCTTGCGCTTGTCAGCCAGGTGGCGGCACCACTGAGCTGAATTCCCCGGCCCTCAGCAATGTGATGTTAACCGGCGTTACCTCCCGCTGTCTGCACCTGTGTGTAGCGGGCTCCAAGCTGGTTTAAAGCCCGCAGTGACCAGCAGCCTCCTGACTGGGTTTGGGGTTGTGTGGTCAGATGGGTGCGGTGGGCACTCACCCCGCCTGCCTGGACTTCGGCCTCTGGCCAGGAGCCTGCTCCCTGTGTCCTGAAGTGCCGTGGAAGGCGGATTCTTGGGAACGCTCTTTCCTGACAGGCGGTTTTGTGTGTGTTCTTGTTTGAATGAGGGAAGTGATATTTTGGTGCTGCTTCAGTATCCTCCCCACTGGGGCCAGACCCCGCCACTGTGAGGTTTCCTGCGCGGGGGTGTTGTAGCACCAGTGCACAGGGGCTCAGGTGTGGGCCGTGGGAACCCCTGGGGACGTCCTCCCATCCCGTGTCAGGCTGCAGAGGCGCCAGTGCTGCAGTGGGGTGCGGGCCCGGGTGGGAGGGGCACCCGGGTCTGCTCAGCGCCTGAAGCCGCTGTGCTGTGGGGACCGAAGCTGTCGCCTGTAGCCTGGCTGCTGCGGCCTCGCTGCCCCCAGCCTTGGCTGCCCAGCCTGCTCGCCGCACAGCGCTCCTGGAGGGAGGTGAGTGGGCGCAGGCACGGGCTCCTTGCTACGGCCAAGTTCCGGGTCCGTCCCTCTTGTCTTGTGCTGCTTGAGGCAGACTGATGATCTTCCTTCTTTCTGTAGCTACCTCGGTGATGACAGGGACCTTTAGAGTAAGGTGGTTTTGTTTTGCTTTGTTCAATTAAAGTCTAAAGCTGTGGAAATAGTTTAAGTTTCTCAATTTCTGTTTGTGAACATCAGCAAATACGTCTTTTGTTTCTTAGGATCTGTTGGAATTACTGTTTCCTGGAAATTTCACTTCAGTTTATTTGTTTGTTGAATGGTACTGCCCTTTTTAAAAATTTATTTACTTTTTTGGTACTGGAGATCGAACTCGGGACCTTGCGCTTGCAAAGTGCGGAACCACTGAGGTAAATCCCTGGCCCATAAAGATTTTAATTTTGAGGAAAGGACTGGCTAAGTTGCCCAGGCTGCTCTTGAACTTGGAGTCTACCTGCCTCAGCCTCTCAGAGTGCTGTGATTACAGGCATATGTGTGCCACCATGCCCAGTCTTATTCCTGTTTTAAAGCCCATTGCAGTTTGACTTCACAAAGCTCGGCAAGCAGTGTGAATTGCCAGAGAACCCATCTTCCCAAGCCTCAGAAATCTTCACATATGGGCCCAGGATTCAGCTCAATGGGGCCAACCGCCTGCCTCGAAAGTGCAAGGTCCCGAGTTCCATCCCCGGTACCAAAATAAAAAGAAAGAAATCTTCTCATAAACCTGGTGTGGTGCCCCATGCCTGTTATCCCAGCACCTGGTAGGCTGAGACAGGAAAGTTTCAGGTTCAAGGCCAGCCTAGACTTTAGCAAGGTCCTGTGTCAAAACAAAAAAAGAAAACTTCACGTGAAACTTAGCAAACTTACATTGCTTTTGGGAATCTTGTTTCCAGTTGAGTGATTGACTTTGTAACTCAGGTTACTTTTTGTTTGTTTTTTTCAGGTTTGTTTAAAGAGAAAAACCCATATGAGAAGTTTCAAAACAACTAGTTCATTCTTCAGACAGATCAGGCAGCCCCGGAGCTTCCTGCAGAGACACCTCGCATGCTGGCTGGCCCTGGCCTGGACGAGTGACCGGCCAGCCGGAGCCGCCCAGGACAATCCCCTCTTCCTGCAAGCCCACAGCCTTCCGCTCCCTGCCATCCCTGCCATCCCTGCCATCCGCTTGGTCCTTAGTCACGTGAGGCCTGGTCTCACTGGGGTCCACCAGGCCGGCCGGGGTGGTCACAGTGTCCTCCTTGCAGGCCGGTTCCAAGCTGAGCCTGGTGCGCCGAGTGAGCACTGTCCACTTCCTGTCCCTCTGCCTGCAGTGTGCTCAGCGCAGCTTGGAGGACAGGGCGCTGTGGCTGCGTGGGGAACTGGCTGACTACGGCTTCTCCCTCACCACAGTGTCCCTGCGCCCCAGTGCGGTGATGCGGGCTTACCTTAGCGCCCAACCCAAGGACACTGCGTAGCACGGAAGAGCAGTTAAAGTCACCTGAAACATTTGCAGAGAGGACTTCTCCGAAGAACATTTTTTATGTAAAGTTCAGGCTCCTTTGGGAGGCCTTTTGTATTCGTATCTTAGTAGACCACGAGAACCTATTTCCCCCCAGAAACTTGGATTGTAGATTGGGTCAAACCACCCCACCGGCCCACATGGGCCCGCCCAGCAGTGTGGTGGAAGTGCTGACCCCGGGTCTCTGCACCCCACCTGCCGCTCTCTGGGATCCTGGGGGACGGCAGGTCTGCCCCGAGGAAGAAGGGCCAGGCCTTGCATGCCGCAGGGAGCAGGCCTGTCCCCACAGACCCCACTTCCGGCCGAGCCTGGGTTCCCCAGCAGGACTCAAGCACCAGGACCCCGGCTCCGTGCGTTTCCTGGAGATGAGCAGTGGCGGGCAGCCGTGTGCTGTGGGAAGTTGGAAGTCTGGGGCAGGGTACTCCCTGGGAAGCGGGTGGGAACCCCTTCCTGCCCTCCCCAGCCTCCCCTTCTTCCACTTGCTGGGCGCTTGGCAGCGATTGGAAGCCTTACAGAACACTCCTGAGGATTTTGTAATAGTCAAAACTTTGCCTTCTCTTGACTCACGGAGGACCTTTCTGATGGACTGATGAACTTAGGGTTAGCACAGTAGCACTATGTAAGTCACACCCTGCCTAATTCAGGTTGCCGAGCTCCCTCCTTAAATACAGTGCGTGTAATTCTGAGCAGCCTGCCCCTCCCGGTCCGCCCGGCTAGGAGACCAGCAACCCCACAGTGCCTTACTTTGTAGTCTGGTTCCAATAAAAGGACATATGCCATCTTCTGTCTGCTGTGCTCCGTGCCCCATCTCCCCAGGGGAAGGGTGCCCCGGGCGGTGGGCTTTCTAGGCGGGGCTGCGCTAGCCACTCCAGCCTCTTCACTGGCCCAGCCAGCTCCTGGGGTCCTGGCGGTTTCCTCCATCCGGTGCCATCCTCTGCATGGTCTTTTCTCTGGTTTCTGTAGGGCACATAGAACTCACAGCAGCCGGGCTGGGCGCTTGGGGGCAGTGTGGCTGGGTACAGGGAGCCTGTGCCCTGCCCTCCTGGAATCCATAGCACCTGGCCCTGGGCAGTGCGGGCCTCAGCCTGGCACTGAGTACACGGGGCAGGTTCAGGTGTGGCAGAGACGGGGGTGTGGGTGGTGGTGACCGCCTGGGCGAGGGTCCTGCTCACCAGGGCTCCCTGGCCTCGCTGCAGCCACAGCTGAGGCAGCCATGTCGGCAGGGTGGAAATGGACTTGGGGCAGCAGGCAGACCCTGCTCAGGCAAGTACTGGCGTGAGGTGGTGATCTGGACCTTGCCCCCAGCGAGGAGGTCCTGGCCTCCTGGGAGAGCAGCTGCACGGGTGCTGGCACCACGCCCCCCCCCCCCCCCCCGGCTGCAGTGCCCAGCCCTGCTCTGTGTCGCACTGGGCAGCAGAGCTCAGGACAGCAGGGCCCACAGCTCCAGCCCCAGGCAGCCCTTGCGCCCACCCCTGCCTGTGCCCTCAAGCAGGTGTCTGCTGCGCCTCAGGGTGCTGTCCGTTGCCAGCAGCTTCCCAGGCTGGGACCACATCTGCCCAGCGAGCCGTCTGGAAGGAAGCCAGATGAATACAGGGCAGCTGCAGTGTGGCTGTCGGACTTGCTGGCTGCCTGTGGGGAAGGCACTGGCAGAGCTGATGCCCAGGGTGGATGTGGCACTCACTGCCTCTGCAGACTGCGTGCCCGGCCAGGGCAGGGCCGGAGGAGATTGCCCCCTGCCCATGCCCTTTGAGGCTGCAGATGAGCCCAAGGACAGCTGCGGCCCTGGGCTTGCTGCATGGCGGGACCCTGACCCCTCCCGGAGCCCATCCCTGTTTCACAGTGCAGGGCAGCTGTGTGGCCCTGCTGGATGGTGCGGAGCGGCCTGGGGAGTAGGCGCCTGTGGGAGGGGTGCAGGGTGGGCCCAGGCCTGGAGCATGCCAGGCAAGTGCCGTACCATGAGCCCCGTGGACAGGTTCTCCTGCAGTCGCCTGGGCTGGCTGTGGTCCTGCCTCCATTGTCCGCTCCGCCTTCCCCAGGGAGGTGGCACCTTCCGGCCAGGGCAAGGGGTCCCGTGGACCCAGAGCCTCCCTCGGAAGGGTGAGCTGGAACTCGGCCAGCTGGGGGGACCCGAGCTGTGACCTGAGGTTCTGTCGATGGAGGTCAGGGAGCATTCAGCCGGGAGGCGGAGAGCTTATGGCCGGTCCTTGGTGGCGTTGGTCGGAAGCTGTGCCCCAGCCCTCTGCCTCGGGAGTCCCCAGGTCCTGTCCCTGAGCTCCCGCCACACCCCAGCTAGCGCACAGTCGTCCCTCACAGAAACCACCACAGAAACCACGTCTGGGCTCTGCTTCCGGGGCTCCGAACAGCCGCCGCCCCAGGCATGGAGACCAGATGACCTTGGCGGCTGCGCAGCCAGGGTAGTGTGGTTTCTATTTCGGCGTGCGGGTGGTGCTGGAGGGCTGAGGAGCAGGTGGTCCCCTGTGTGGGTCACCGCCCCAAGGCCCGGGTGCCCACAAGGGGGAGCTGGCCACAAGGGCCACTGGCTGGGCACCGTGAACTTGATGGGCTACAACTTGCCCAGGAGTTTAGCATCTGCACTCGAGAGATGAGCACATTGCTTTTTCGTATGGTGCTAGGGCCTGGAGGACCATGGAAGCTTCGAAGGCCTCTCGAGGCGTGAGAGCTTTGGTAGGTCTTTGTTTATTTATTTTTGGTTTGTGAGTCAGAGTCTTGCTAGGTAGGCCAGGCTGGCTTCAAACTTGTGGCAATCCTCCTGCCTCAGCCTCTGGAGGGCTAAGACTGCATTGGTGCACCACTACACCTGGGTTTCCTTGGGGGGTTGTGGTAGAATATCTGTAAAGGGCTGGAGGAAATGTCCCTTTCAGGAGCTAGGAATGTTTTTCTTTTAAACTCTTTTATTGGTACATTTTAGGTATACCTTTATCATTATACGTTTACATTTATCATTGGGTGCTTGTACCTGTACCTGATGTATCTTGGTTCTGATTTTTTCCCCATTACCTGTGAACCCTTCATCCCCTGCACCCTTCCCTATTTACATAGATTTTGTTTCCATTCTTTTCTTTTTTCATAATTTTTCCTTTCCCTTCTTCCTTTTCCCCTTTCCCTCCCGCCACCCCTATGCCTTTGGACCTTTTCCTACTTCAAATTATCAATTATTCATTTTAATCATTTTAATCCTTATCTACACTTTCAGTTTCTCACACTAGAGAAAGTATTGGGTATTTACATGTGTGTCCTATTTATTTCACTTAAGAGGATGGCCTCAATGTGCATCCACTTAACTATAAATGTCTCTAGTTTCTCTCTTTTTTTTTTTTTTTTGGTACCGGGGATCGAACTCAAGTCCTTCTGCTTGCAAGGCAGGCAGCAGAACCACTGAGCTAAATCCCCGGCCCTAGTTTCTCATTCTTTATGACTGAGTAGTACTCCATTTTATAAAAAACCTCATCTTCTTTATCCAGTCTCCAGTTGATGGGCATTTGGGCTGCTTCCAAGCTTTCGCTGTTACAAACTGTGCCGCTATAAACATGGGTGCGCATATATCACTGTGGTATGATTCTTTTAATTCTTTGGGGAAGATACCCAGCAGGCAAACAGCTGGGTCAGATGGGACCTCTAGCCCTAGTTCTCTGAGGTATCTCCATGCTGATTTCCACAGTGGCTGCACCAGCCTACACTCCCACCAGCAGTGGAGAAGGGTTCCTTTCTCCCCACATCCCCGCCAGCATTTGTTATTGGTTGATTTCTTGATAGCAGCCATTCTTTCTGGGGTGAGGTGGAATCTCAGTGTTGTTTTCATCTGCATCTCTCGAATGACCAGTGATGATGAACATTTTTTCATATGTTTATTTGAGGAGCTAGGAATTTTAATACTGCAGTTTTTTCCAGGGTTATTGGTCTATTCATGCTGGCGAGGTTTTGTTTGTTTGCTTTAGTTCTGAGGATTGAACCTGGGCCCCATGCTAAGCGAGTGCTCTACCACTGAGCTATGTCCCCAGCCCTTTACCAGATTATATTTTGAGACAGAGTGTTGGTAAGTGGCTCTGGCTGGCTTCAAGTTGCAGTCCTTAGCCTCCTGAGCACTGGGGCTACAGGCTTCGATTCATTTTCAAATTTTATATATATATATAAAATATATATTTATTTTTAGTGCCGGGAATCAAACTCAGCCCCACGCTTGCCAGGCAGACACTGCACCGCTGAGCTGTATCCCTGGCCCTTATTTATTTATGCTGTGAGACAAGGTGTGGCTATGTAGTCCGGGCTGGCCTCAAACTGGCTTCAGCCTCCCAAGTGATCCTTTTGCCTCAGCCTCCTGAGTGCTGGGATTATAGGCTTGCACTGCCAGACCTGGATGCATTGATACTAATATTAACAAAGTGAAGGGCCGGGGATTTAGCCCAGTGGTTCCTTCGCCTGCCTCGCAAGCGCAAGGACCCAAGTTTGATCCCCCGTACCAAAACAACAACAACAAAAAAAAACAAAGTGAAAACCATCTCATCTCTAGTTGTTCTATCCTTTCAATTCCTACAGCTTTTTGCATTTTTTATGATTGTAACTTTTTTTTTTTTTTTGGCAGTGCTGTGGAGTGGACCCAGTGCCTTCGCACTGGCTTACACCCCCTGCCCATTTTGTATTTTGAGACAGGGTCTTGCTAAGTTGTCCAGGCTGGGTATAAACTCATAATCCTGGCTCAGCCTCCCAGAGTGCTAGGATTCCAGGTGACACGGTGCCCCCTCTTTCTTACTTTATTTGCATTTCACAGGAGCAACTGGAGCATGTGGGATGGGTGGGTGGCTGTTTTCTTTCTCCTGGTGGTGGGTGGCACCCTGGGTCCCCTCCCACGCTGGCCGCGGTTGCTGTCGGGCTGGGGTGGCTTGGCTCTGCAGGAGGTGTGACTGAGGATGTGTGACTCAGCCTATGCTCCAGGGCCTTGCACCTTGGGCCTAGCCTGGGCCTGGGTGGAGAGGCCTCACGGTTCCACTGGGCCCTGAGAGGGAGCGGCCACCAGGGCTCGGGGTGGGGCCCAGGCCACCAGGGGCAATACCGGTTCTGCCCAAGCTGCTGATCTGGAAAACATGTTGCAAATAAAAAGTTGCCCAGCCATTGAGTTTGGAGAGTTCATTATTCAGCAAGATACTGGATACATTATTAAGGTTTTATTCAGAATACGAAAAATAACTGGTATTTTTACATACTCACCAAAACAGAAAAGAAAAGGGGGGGTGCGCCGGGCATGGTGGGCCACACCTGTAACCCATCATGCTGGGAGCCTGAGGCCGGAGAATGTTGAGTTCAACCCCAGGCTGGGCAACTTAGCAGTATCCTGTCTCACAATGTTTTGAAAAAGTCTTTTTTAAGGGCTAAGATGCAGCTTAATTTAGGAACCCTGGGTTCAGTTCCCAATCCCCTTCACACAGGACAATGAAATCCTAAAGATAGCATTTATAATATAAATAATAACAGCGATAAAGGTGATGAAATAGTGTAAGACTGGTGCACTGAACACTGAACATGACTGAGGGAAATAAAGACCTAAACACAGCATTCACGGATCAGATGGCTCGGCATTCTTTTCAAATCCAGTGACACATTGCAGTGTGGTAAAATCCCTGTACGTGGGATGGGCCGCCTCCGCCCCTCCCAGCCTGTGCTCGGGGCGCTGTGTGCATTCCCCTCACTGCGGCCGGTACCTCACCAGCGCGGCAGCCCTGTCCTTCTGCCCCTACAGGTTGGACTTAAGTGTCCAATGTGTAAATGGAC